AAAACAAGTTATTTTTCCAGTGCTCATGCTTTGAATTCTTTATTTTTTTGCTTACATTTAAGGTGGAAAACATCTATCTATCTCTCAGATCATTTATTATTTGGTGATTGAAAACAGACCCTGCAGTATGTTTAATAAATGAACCCCACTTCCTCTTTAAATCTAGGTTTCGTGAGATGAGTTCGCTGTTTGTCTATTTTTGTCTATGGAATCAATTCAGTAAATTCACTATATTGCGTACATTTGCTGAGGTCATTGTGTACATGGGTTACACAGAGCCCGAAATTTAAAAGAGTATCGTTAAACAAATCTCCCGAGTTTTCTTTTTTGGGACTTAACATTTGTGTAAATTTTGATTTAAGAAATTCGAAAAAAATAGAAAATATAAACAAACTGAATAAAATAATATTTCATAACAAAAATATTGATATCCACAAAACTGCCTAACCCCATTCGTGAAACCCGGGTTTTAAAACTGGTTTTCATAACGATACCCTGTCTTAAGTTTTGGGCTCAGGAGACGTAGAAATGTACAAAACAGGTAAGCACAACGGATTAAAGGGACAGTAAAGGAAAAATAAAAGGGGGTATAGGCTGAAAGCTAATCACTTTAGCTCTTGATCGCGACCCATGAAAGTCATATCTGATGTATTAGTGGAGTTCTAATACCTCACAATAAAGTGTACATACATTCTATTCCTCCAACCTTGCCATACACAATAAAAAATATGATTATTTCTTTAATTTTGATACATTTAATTATACAATAAACTTTTGTTTTAATGACTGTCCCAAGAGTACTTTTTTTTGTATACCTTGAACCAACCCATATTTAGAGTTTGAATTTTAAGTAGAATTTGCCTATAGCACACGACTTCAAACACTGAGTTCTTAATTGTAATAAATTGAACTGTGATTGCAATTTTTTAAAATTTTATTACAATCTTTTAATTGTATTTTGAGCAATAATGTTTTTACAGAATTGTGTACCTTATTGTTATTTATAAAAACTCAGAAACTGTTTCTGTGTGATATTTCTATTGAAAATGGTTTCCAATTAAACAATTCAACATAACGTATTGTGTGGGGAATAATGTTTGTTTTTCCTTCTGCGTGTTTTTTAATAATTAATTCAAGACCTTAACATTATTCTAAAAATAAAAGCATAAATCAGATTTAGAACAGTTTAATTATAAACATTTGTCTTTTTATAAAATATTAGGTCCGCTTTATTTAACAAGGAGAACTGCAGACATCTTTTTAAAGCATTGAAAATGTTTTAATAAGAGGAAAACTCGAGAATTAATCAGGTTTTTCTTTTTAAAATTGTTTTATCCAATTCATATAAAGTAGAAAAATGTTTAGAAATATTAACATCAAAAAGTAAATTCAATTTGTGGTTTAATCGGCATATTATATAANTTTAATTGAAAAAGTTTGTTAGATCAATGATAAGCAGTTAGCAACCAGTGTTTGTTTCCTAAACTCTTTATATCAAGGGAATAATTAGAAATCTTTAAAGGGACTGTAACCGTAATTTCAAGGGATCCTCCATGTAAAGAGGGAATGCCTGATTTACAACGGTACCCTGTAAACCTCTGAGTGATCTACGAGAGCAGAGAGTTCAGTGTGCTTATCTCTAAAATAATGTTTAATTTGATAAAAACTAGAGTTTGAGTTCAAAGCAGCTGACGATACACATAGTCCGCGAAAATCCAGAATATTTACTTATAAATATTTATTCTCGAAAATAAAAATAATATTTCCTAATTATAAAACATCCTAAAAACAAAGCGTTTCAGTAGATATATTAGAATAAGTTCCTCATCCTAAAGGTTTAATAAAGTAAAATGTTGTGAATCCGACACGAATGAATGGTCACTTGAAATTTAAAGTGCCTTTAATTAGCAAAATTCAAGACTTCGTTAATGTGTATAAACATTTATTTTTTATTTATTTCTCTCACTTGGCTGATAAGTACCCGACCTAACAAATCCTCCAGTAAGTTAGTACTTCAATATTTGATTGGAACTAACTCGTGTAAAGGAGATGAATTTTTATGTTTCTTAAAATGATACTGCTCTCAAGGGAACAAAGTGGGGTAATTACATATTCCCCCTCCTTGAGAGAGAACAATTAGTGGTCCTATTGGTCAGCATTTGATTAATGGAACTCATTAACTGGATGGCATCCGTGGGAAACCATCCTTGAATTTTGTCACGTTGTGATATTTTTTTTGATTATCGTAACGTGGCAAAATTCCCCCCAGTATATAAGGAAGCCAGATTCCTTGTTTCTTCAGTCTAGTAATTACTTCCATACAGGAAACATCTCCTCCAGTCAATCTTCATATCATGGGTAAGCTCTTTCATATATATTAGGTCACTTTATAATCTGTCGTAATGTCGTAATATAAATTCATAAGTACTATATTTGGAACCACAGTGTGATTTGGACTTGTATTTAAAATTGATTAGACTAATTTGGACTTAGAAAATAAATGATTGATTGATTTACATTTCTTAACCTAGAGATAATACTTAGAATAAATCGAAATGTTTTCAGATAAATTATAAATGTTGGACTTAGAAAATAATCATCTCCAATAAAAGAACTTATAAGTGTTAGACAATAGCTGCCTTATTATAAGGATCTTGAACTTAGAAATTTTAGTAAACCATAATTCAAATCATTTTATATCTTTTTATGAATATTTCATTTCTCAAGGAATCCAATCTTCTGAACTTCCGTCTCCATCATATAGAACAAGGCCCGCTCCATTTCCATAAATACATGACATGCATAACTTAACATTGAAACAAGGTTAATTCAGCAGAAGATCCGTTATGAGTTTTCAATATATGTCCTATCTATTTATAGTATAAGTCTTTTCAATTGAATTTTCACTGAACCAAGGCCTAACTTAAGCCGTAAGAAATAATCAACGAATAAAGTCCCGCGTGGCAATTAACATCAAGGCAACGTTGATTAAGTATAAATAAATAAAATGTCTTAGATTTATTGAAAGAAAGGAAGTTATTGTAAAAAAATAGTTTATTTGGTCTAATAGTAGCTATCATTTTATCCAGTGGAATCCTTCTCTTCTGAGATCCATCCTGAATAGAGAAGAATTAATATTTAGGAATAGTCATTTGGTAATAAGATGGTAGTAATATGTGGTAACCAATTAACCAGTATAAAAGTTACTAAACACTTCCTAATCATAAAACATCCTAAAAACAAAGTGTTTCAGTATATATCTTAGGATAAGTTCCTCATCCTAGATCAGTTAAAGGTTTAATAAAGTAAAATATTGTCAATCCGACATGACACTCTACAAACGAAGGATCACTTGATGTTTACAGTGTCATTAACTAGCTAAATCAAGACTTCGTTAAAGTCATTTATTTTTTTATTTCAAAGATCCCTTTCTCTCACTTTGCTGATAAGTACCCGACCTAACAAATCCTCCAGTAAAATGAGATGTTACGCCTGAGCCAATTATTCTCAGGAACAAGTCGACTTTTAGCCGGGATTTAAAAATTATGAAAGATGAATATCTTAATTGTAAAAATTGTCACGAGATTAAGATGTGAAGAAAGATTTCACAGAGATCTGCAAACAACTTTGAAAGTAATGCATCAAAATTCTAGACCGGGTCGCCTTTGAAGTGTCACAATGCACTTATTTCTATCTTCTGTATAAATTAATAATTTTAAATTTATACCAGAAACCTAATATCCTGTTTCACTTAATGATGAAAAATTATTCTGAAAAAGGAGTTGTGTGTGCAGTATTTGAACCTAAACAAAATGTTGATTAGTTTAATTTGAAAATAGATAATTCAATAACACATAATATCACGAATAAACAAATGGAATAAAAGGAAGTTAAAACCATCTGGAGTTCAGTTATTTTACAGGTAGAAGATACATATCTATCTATCTATCTATCTATCTATCTATCTATCTATCTATCTATCTATCTATATATCTATCTATCTATCTATCTAAAGAGTAAAGTTTGTTTCTGATGTATATAATGGTGCTCGGAATTATGGTCTAGTTATATTTGGATATTTCCTGTCACTTGAGTCTCTATATACTCTAATATATATAATATATTCTACACAAAACATCTTTCCCATATATTTGTATCTTGTCTGTTGGTCCGTCCAGTTTTCTGTCTGTCTGTCTATGTGTTTTGTTTGGCCCGGCTAAGACGCGCTATGGGTGATGTAAAAGCAGCCTCTTCTTGTTTTGCAAAGAAAAAAACTGAAAATAAAGGTAAAAAAGAATGCCTATTAGATTACTTTTTAATTCAAACTCAAACTCAAAGGCTTTACCCAAGTCCAAAAGTGAAATAGCTTTTTTCGCAAGTTTTTAAACATTCCGTATTTGTTTTTAAGGAATCAGATACTATTCAGTTCTTAGAAACATAATATTTAAGCATAGACATAAAGTTGGTTAGTGTCACTTTAATGATATATTTCCCCCTGTCTATACTGTATAGTGTATACACACACATACAGGCTCAAGAACATAGATAAGGGTTCTTGTATACTCAAGAACAGAACCTTGGATATATCTAGATAGATAGATAAATATATAGATAAATAGATAGTAAAATATTTAGTTAGATAGATAGATGAATAGATAGATAGATAGATAGATAGATAGATAGATAGAAATTAAAATATTTAGTTAGTTAGATAGATGAATAGATAGATAGTTAGATAGATAGATAGTTAGATAGATAGATAGATAGATAGATAGTAAATATTTAGTTAGTTAGATAGATGGATAGATAGATAGATATAAATTTAGATAGAGAGATATAAAGATAGTTCGATAGATGGAGAGATTCATGGATATTTAGATATTTAGTTAGTTAGTTAGAAAAATGGATAGTTAGATAGAGAGATAGAAAGATAGTTATATAGATAGATAGATAGATAAATATATTGTTATTTTCTAAATAGTGACTGTTAAAGAAGTTAAATATCTAAATAAGATTACATCTTTATTGGAATTGTACATTGATTGATTACTTCCCTGACATTCTGAACATCTAACTTAAAACTGGATTTTTTCAGATAAAAGTGCAATAAAATGGCAGATCTTCTTGGATATGTGTTATTAAACAAGAGAAGAAGGCTTCATTAGTCTTCTCACAATATCAACTTTATTTCATTTGTAAGTTTTATCCTTGTACAAATCTACAAATATATTTGAATTATCTATAAAGTTTTATACCTGGATGAGTGAATGAATGATCCTGGATCTCCGAGTCAAGTTGTTCTGTCTGGGCCTTTGCTGTATCTTCTACATCATGGTATCCTGCCTCCTTACTGTTACTAAGTAAGTCTTTCTCCTCCTTCTCCTCCTTCTCCTCCTTCTCCTCCTTCTCCTCCTTCACCTCCATCTCCTCCTTCTTCTCTTTCTCCTCCTTCTCTTTCTCCTCCTTCTCCTCCTTCTACTCCTTCTCCCCCTTCTCCTTCTTTTCCTTCTTTTCCTCCTTATCCTCCTTCTCCTTCATCTCCTCCTCCTGTTCCTTATCCTCCTTCTCCTTCTTCTCCTCTTTCCACTACTTCTCATCCGTCTCCTCCTTCTCTTCATTTTCTCCTCCTGGTTCACTAACAAACCCTTCTCCTCCTCCTCCGTATTCTTCTCCTCTTCCATTTCCTTCTCCTTCTTTATTTCCATCACTTTCTCTTTATCATCCATGAATGATTAAATGAATTTTATATAAATTTTGATATAAATAAACTAATAAAAAGGAGGACTAAACGAGTGAATGTATAGGATGGATGCAAGACTACTGGAGCGAAGGCAAGATCAGACTGAGTTCATCCTGTCAAACCATAGACATCCAACTCATTCACTTACAGGGATACATTCCATTCATCCGTTCATCCATTCATTCTTTCAAACCATAGACATTCAATTCAGTCATTTTTTGTGGGAAAGGTATATGGACGGACACGGTCAAAATAAAAAAAAAATCCGTTGTGGTTTCCGTTCAATAGCTTCTCAGATTCTCTTCATGAATTGTAATTAGCAGTTTCTGAAACCTTCATTCGTTGATCTCAGTTCTCTCAGTCCTACTAACACTAAATGGAACGGGTTTGGTTTGGCATTTAATAATATCCTTTGCGACATGAAAATTAACTCTTTTTCGTTTTCCGTTTGTTAAAAAAATAAATACACTGGGGTCACAATATGGAAATGATTTCCCAATAGTTTCCTTGCGTTGGCTCATTTTTTAAAGAACTAACCTAAAATGATCATTTCTAGGTAACAAATTGCATCAAAAATATTCATGATTACAGATATAACAGATTTCAATTTTTTGATATACACTTAATAAGCTTTATACAAATCCTAAGATTGTTAATCTACAGAGGGCTAGCACAAAATTTGTACATTTTGTGCTCCGAAGGATTAAGTTAATTCTTTTGGATGTCTGCAAAGATTGTAGAAATATAGACCATTAAGATGCCAAATCAATTCTTAGTCATAGAGGAATCGTAAAAATACGATTCAGCTGCTTTCTACGAATTAAAAATTCAGTTAAAAGTTCAGTTAAAATAAAAAATTTGCACTTTTAGATATCGAGTACTGGTTTTGTGGATGACTGCAATCTAACAAAGTATAAATTTCATGATGTACATAAGTTCCAGAACTTGCACATTAAAAACATTTTTGTGTTTTTATACTTGTAGTCTCACATTAAAATCTATTCTTTGTTTCTCTCACAGGTTGTATAATAAGGTTGCTAACTCTCGATATCCTCCTATGTACAGGAATATATAGTGACGTCATATGCGGATTGTATCTATCTATGCTAAGGAGACGACATTTTCTGTACATTGGAGCGCATTGAGAGTAAGCAACATATGATTCCCTGAATAAACGGTTAAAGAATGTTAAATGAACCAGATATCCTAGACAACAGTGAAACTATGAGAAGAAGAAAAGCTCCCAAAATAAACTGGTGCAAACCTTTAGGTAATATTTCTATAGTATAAGTATAAGGAAAAGCATGGCTTTAAAATTATTGAGCAAACCTTTTAAAAATAAGCGTTCCGAAGCGTTTAAAGGCTATTATAAGTGTGTACACTGCACAGCAAGTTCCGAATTTCCAGGACTTAACATTGAATTTTACTCTCAATAAGAAAAATGGTTGATTTAGTGTTTTGGAAATTCTGGGTTTTTCATGACAGAAAAATGATTTATTAATTTTGTTCCAGGTTTAAAAACTTCTCCGGGTCCTCTTGTTGCTCTGGCTTCGTTTCCAGGTTCAGGAAACACGTGGCTTCGGTATCTTATACAGCAGGCCACAGGTTAAGCTTACACACTACAGAAAAAAAGTATATATAAACACTATCTTTGGAACCCAGCTTTACAAGAAAAAACTTTCTACACAAGAGTTAACCCACTTAACTTAGAACGTTTAAACCAATCTTATGAAAAATCCCGTGGTTCTATCGAGTTTCCATATCAAAATGTGAGACAAATTAGCCAAGGGGTTCATGAGCTATGATCGGACTCAAAACCAAACAAACAGACAAACAGAGGTTGCTTTAATTCTTTAGATACTTGTTTTTAGAAAACTGTTAATGCACTCAAATTTAGATACTTTAGTTTCTATTCTATTAAGACCCATAATTATTTAAAGAATTTGGAATCCATGCAGGTTTTCCACAACAAAATCAGAATGAGTAAGCTTTTTAATTGAAAATTTGCAAGATAGGATATATGAACAAAAAACATTTTCTTAAGGTTTTCTTTTTAATAAATAGCCAAAAAAATATTATGTTGAACAGTTTTAAAGACAAAATATTTTTTATTATTTATCAATGGTTAATGTGGATAAAATTAGAACAGAATGATTTTCTTATTTAGGTATTCTGACTGGAAGTGTGTACAGGGATTATGCACTGCTAAAAAATGGATTCCCGGCTGAAAGTATATCAAACGGATCTGTGATAGCTGTCAAAACCCATGAGTATGGTTCTCAAGCCCGGAAAGACTTTGATAAAGCAATTTTATTGGTCCGAGATCCATTCTCTAGTGTTCTAGCAGAATTCAACCGAAGATGGGGCGGCCATATTGGACACGCTAACAACGCCAAGTTTAGGCGGGAAAATGGAAAAGTTTGGCGGGATTTTGTACTGACGAAGGGAGAAGCGTGGGAGACAATGAACCTGGACTGGGCCTTGAACTTTAAAGGTCCCCGGCTTGTCGTCTTTTATTGGCAGCTCTGTAAGAATACAGAAGAGGAGTTGAAGCGGATTTTAGAGTTTCTAGAAATACAAATTTCAGATGAGGTAAACAATTTGTAGGAACTGTAAGAATAGTTTTAAGTGACCTTCCATTTATAGATTTGCATGTCCGATTTACATTGATACCCTTTAAACCTTAAAGGATTTCAAGGATTTCGTAAATATTCTTATTTATATAGCGGGAAATAAAGTGCAAGAAAAAGCGCGAGTGTACACTAGCACGGAAAGTACAAAGTACACTATACCTCGAGTATCCCTGCACTCAATCTTCAGCTATACAAATAAGGGTATCTACCTCATCGTTGTCCGGCCAAAGGTTTAAAGGGTAAAGGACATACCTCTCTATATTAGAAGATCACTTGAAATTACGCTTACAGTCCCTTTAACACAGATTTTAAGCGATTTTAAACTAAAATTCAAATTTATTGACATTGGTTATTTTCAAGCATTCATCCTGCTGGGGCTGTAAAAGGGGGGAAATAACCATAAAAAGAAAAATTCTTTAAGAAAATTGTTTTTACTTTTAATATCAGATTTACAAAGAATTTCTTGTCAATAAAGAAATAAAAAATAAAAATATCAAAGCCGAAAGAAAACGAAATATTTTTGCAATTGAATGTTTTTTATTATCAAAAAATCTGAAAAATCCATAGGTTTGATTTATATATTTATTTTCGAATATAAGTTTGAGAGTGAAATCTTAAGGATGAAAACCTAAATCCAGATCAAAGAAATATCTTATATTTTATTTTACTAAACAAGATAAAACTTTATTTTTAGACGCTTCAGTGTGTTATGGAAAGCAAAGAGGGTATCTATAGGAACAATATATTTATATTAATGAAAACAAATAATGAAAAAAGTGAAATACTAGATATTCAATTTTAAACACTGAATCTCAGATTGTTAGATTCAGATGAAATGTTGAAGTTGAATTAATAAGTGCAATGAACCTCAATCTAGGAGCCAACTCCTGTTCTACAGAAACTGAAAATATATAATATCTATATATATCAAGATGTAATCTGTTTTTGTCTGTCTGTTTCTTTGTCTGACCATAACGAAGGAACCCCTGGACCGATTTGCCTCAAAATTTAGTTTATAAATTTAGTGGATCGACTTTTCTAGCGAAAATTTAGTTTCCATATAAATCGTTCAAGTACAGGTAAACGGCGGAATTGTAACTTTTAGTAACCTTGGCAGCGCTGGGTTCCCAAGCTTGTATAATATATAATATATAATATAAAATATATCATATAAATTATTATAAAACCAACTTCCTTTTCAATATTCTACTGCATAGTTGATCATCATAGAAGATTAAAGGAAACACAGCACGCAACATCTAGCTATTCATTAGATTTTAGAGATATTTATTCATTTAGAGATTATTCTTTAGATATTAGAGATATTAACCCATTTATAGAGTTTATGATTAGATATTAGAGATTTCATTTATTTAGAGTTTATTCATTAGATATTAGAGATATTCATTCATTTAGAGTTTATTCATATATATTAGAGATATTCATTCATTTAGAGTTTATTCATTAGATATTACAGATATTCATTCATTTAGTTTATTTAATAGATATTAGAGATATTCATTCGTTAAGAGAGATTACTTAAGTATTAGAGTTTCAAATAATATTATTTAAAATAATTATAACCTTACGTCATAAAACCAAAATCATCTAAAGAAAAAATGAATAAAAAGGTTCTTGATCCCTCCTGATTGAAAAGTTTGAAATTATATAAATATATTCTCTGAACAGGCGACCCAAGAAACCCCGGTCTCCAGATTTGTTTGATCCTGATCTCACCAACTATCTCAAGCTGAAACAAAAGAAGGTCTTTAGAACACTACGTAACCTGTCATAGACAATTATATTGATCTTGCCTTTAGATCAATCTTTCATAATCTGGACCATTCATTGATCTTTCATAATTTTTCTTGACCTTTCCTTGCTCTTTCATTTTTCCTTTCCTTGATCTTTTTTTTTGTCTCTCCTTGATCTTTCCTTGATCTTTCAATGATGAAGTTTTCTCTTAAAATCTATATTTAATTCTTCATAAAACTTTCTGAGTTTCAAAATATTGAAGTGCAAAACAAATAACAAACTAAATTTTTCTATTGCAATTATAATAACTTGATTGTGCATGTGAACAAAATTCCAAACAAAAAAATTTAGAAAGATTTATCTAATTATATGAAGAAATTGTCAAATTTTTGTTCATTGACACATTTTGGGAACAATCAACATTTATTAATTTTTCTTGATTTGAAAATTACCCCCAAAATTACCGGATTAGTATCCTAGTATCCTAGTACCCTAGTATCCTAGTATCCTAGTATCCTAGTATCCTAGTATTCTAGTATCCTAGTATCATAGTATCCCAGCATCCTAGTATCCTAGTATCCTGACATCCTAGTATCCTAGTATCCTAGTATCCTAGTATCCTAGTATCCTAGCATTCTAGTATCCTGGTATCCTGGTTTCCTAGTATCCTAGTATCCTAGTATCCTAGTATCCAAGTATCCTTGTACGTATCCTAGTATCCTAGTATCCTAGTATCCTAGTATCCCAGTATCCTAGTACGTATCCTAGTATACTAGTATGCTAGTATCCAAGTATCCTAGTACGTATCCTAATATCCTAGTATCCTAGTATCCTGGTATCCAACTAACAAAATAGGCAATCAAAACTTTAAATTGGACGATGAAGCAAACAAACAGGTTTTTAATTTGATAAAAAAGTTAGATTTGTTTCTTTTCTTTTTGTTAAATGTACAGTCTAAAGTTTGCTCACACATGAAAATATTTTAACCATTTTATGATTGGAAACTAAATTGAATTTTTTTTTCTCTCAAATATTTAAAATATTTATTGATTATTAGAATTTAATATTTCTTAAGCGTTTTTACTAAAATAATGAAAACTAGTCAATTAAATCTAGTTGTGAAAAATATATAGCCAAAGATATGTTTCCTTGTAAAAAAGTACAAATTAACATACTTAATATTTATATTTGGACGAAAGTTCAATTTTATTAATAAATTTTAGAAAAGTTTTAAACCATTTTGAATATTAACTTGAAAAATTTAGTTTTACAAAGACCTTTAGAAAAACTATGTTTTCAATAGCCATATTATTTGACTAAACACTGAAATAAACATATCAAATCTAACAAAACTTTTATATTTTATTTTCTGAGTTCAAAGATAAGTTTCTTGCCGTCTTTTGTATTTATCATTCTTACTTATATTTGACCAAAATGTGATAATTGTATATTTATTGTAAATAAAAAAACTAAAAATATGTGAAAACTATGTGTTGATAATAACAAATTAAAAATAAATGTTGTTAAAAAACTATTAATTGTTTATTTAAAGCAAAGCGGAAAATTAGTTTTGTTGCCTTGTCAATCTGTGTGTCTGTTATGGTGTTTGGATATCTTTTTGTCTGTCATTCTGTCTGTCTGTCTGAGTGTCAGGTTTAAAAATTATAAACATTGATATATAATTCATACTTGATAAGACATGAGCTTTCAAGGGTAATGTTGTGAATCGGTCAATTGCATCTTTGCATGGAGGGTCACTTGATTTTAAGAAGACTCTCTGTATTGTAATTCTACGAAGGATGCGCATAACTCCTTTGGGCGTCTGCCTCAGGGTTATGTGAACAAAAAAGCCCTAAATCTTGAAAAGAAAACATCTAGTGTTCTATCTGTGTTGTTATTAATCTATGGGTAAATAACTACATACGAAAATTTCTTTCCTCTTCAAGTTAGTTACTTTCTTCATGTTGAAAACACAAACTATGTTCATTAAAAAAAAACAAAAATTTTTTATTTTTATTTTATTTGATGCATTTCCTTGAATAGTATAGTACATAAAGTGTAACGTATGTTATCTCTCCACTTGAACATTTAAAATGCTTTAAGTTTTTGAAAAATGGACTCTTCAGCAAAAGTTTTTTATTTCTATTAAACTATTCTGTTTTCAAAGTTCACTAACTTCATATTTAAACACAGCATTTGAAAGTGGAGATTTTGTGCAAAAAAACAGAAAGAAACTGAGTCTTTGCCATAAAATGATATATTAAAAACCCTTTATCTTTGATACCTGATGGTGTAAACTTTTGATATTTCAAACTTAAGTTATCGGATCTAACAGAATTCATAGCTTGAAATAAATAAGGTGTACGAAATTGGGGTATATAGGGATAAGAAAACCTGAGTTTGTGGCAAAGACTCAATTCATTTACAAATATTTTATTCTAGACATTTCTTTTATTACACTGTGCCAAATCTGGATCCTGAAAATGAACAATAAACGAATCAAAAACGATCGTTTAATGGTGAGGGAAAGAAAGAATAGTTCAATAAAAGCAAACTTTTACAAAAGTTTTGAAATGTTTGAAGTTTACAGTATTTATGTTGTGCCTTTTGAAAGTTCAAAAACCTCAAAATGAAAAATATAATTTCCAATCACTAAGTGCAGTGCAGGCTATCCATTGACTATAAAATCAGAAAATCAAAACAAAAGCTAATGATAATTAATCTCCCAGGAGGAGAACTTTTCTCTACGCTTCTTCAACAACCTAAGAAAGTAATACAAAATTAAGATATAAAATATATATCTAATGTAAAAAATTTTATTATATCAATATTTTTCTACAATACAATGGAAGGTGATTGTATAAATACAACGAAAACGACTTTTTTTTATTTAAGTTTTGATCTTTTTTGAATTACAAGTTTACAAGCAATCAAAGGGAAGTTTCTGTAATTCACAGCTTAACATTATTTCTATGTTTATGTGCATCCATGCTGTTTAACACCATGATACAAATCAAAATTAAAACTATAAGTTGTCTTCATTGTATTGATATATTCGCATACACATTTTTTGATTTAGCTCCACGACAAACGATAATTATATTTTTATTGAAAATTTAAAAAAGGCAAATATTTGATATATTTTCTTTCAGGGTCAGATTTTAGCGTAGGATATTATTAGCAAATCTTCTCTAATTTGTTTATCTTAAACATTTTTATTCCTTAAAGAATGTCAAATTTTGACCCTGGCAGAGGATATAAGCAAAAATCGACCCAAAAACGATCCAAAAAAACCCAAAAACAACTAAAAAACGACCCAAAAACGACCTAAAAAACGACCCAAAAAACGATCCAAAAAACAACCCAAAAACGATGCAAAAACGACCCCAAAACGATGCAAAAACGAACTTGTGGTACAGATTAATTAATTCATATAGTTTTTCCAATAAAGATATTGAAAAGTTTAATGAAAGCAAACATTAAAATAGTCAAGTTTTTGATTTTGAATCTTGAAAGTTTTATTGATTTTCTTCTAAAAACAAATTAACAACACACTACATACAAATATTAGAATTATAAAAAATACCATTATACTAGAAAAAAAACTATTTTTGTTATTTTTTAAGGTGAAAAATGATTTTTTCGAGAAACTTTTTGAATCTATAGCATGCACACATAATCAATCAATTAGTAAGGTTTTAATTTGTAAGTTGATGAAATAATCAAAAATATTTCTAAACATTTTTGTGACAAAAAATCGTAAATTTATTTTGTTTAACTTTTAGAATGGATATCAAACCATAGAGTGGTTTGTCTTTCTGTCTGTTTCACTCTGTAAAATGCCGCGGACAAAAGTAAATCAATCAAAATAAAATGATTAAGCATTGAAAAGAAAGTAGAAGATCATGAACTTTAAACCTTGTATATTACAAGGATATAAAAATAAAGATATGAGGATTAAATAGATGCACCGTTTCCCAGGAATCCATTACTTCTGAATTCATCAAGTTTTTTAATGATTTACAATTATGGTATTTCTTGTATAACTTCAAACATAGAAGTCCTGCCTTGATAAACAAACCTAAGGCTTAGGGCCTAAAAGTCCTGACTTGATAAACTAACTTGAGGTTGTGGGCCTAGAAGTTCTGAATAGATAAACTAACCTTAGGTTCGGGACCTAGAAGTCCTGAATTGATAAACTAACCTGAGACTAGGGGCCTAGAAGTCCTGAATTGATAAACTAACCTGAGGCATGGGGCCTAGAAGTCCTGAGGCTGTGTTCAGAAGATTGATTGGAGTTCGACCATCAGTAATAAGGGTAGATTTGAGACCCAGAGCTTGTAGCATTCGGACCTAGAGATAGCATTAGTTTACTCCTTAAACCTAGAGAAAATATTAATTTAATCTTTAAACCTAGAGATAGTATTAGTTTAATCCTTAAACCTAGAGATAGTATTAGTTTAATCCTTAAACCTAGAGATAATATTAGTTTAATCTTTAAACCTAGAGATAGTATTAGTTTAATCATTAAACCTTGATATAACATTAGTTTAATCTTTAAACCCAGAGATAGCATTAGTTTAATCTTTAAACTTTTAGATTTTTACCCATGGTACATGCATGGTACCCATGGGTTTGCTGAGTCAATTTGGTTCAGCCGTTTGGTTAGCTATAGCTTACATATATATTATGTATATATTAGGGAAGAGTTTTATTATTATTATGTAGATATTGTTTATAATGTATATATTGTATATTGAGTGTATACAGTAGAATTCGGACAATAAATAGAATAAATAAGATTAGAAAATGATAAATCATCAAATATTGGCATCAATGCACACAATATTCATTCAAAAACCTCCCAACTATACCATAATATTTGTTCATAACATACAGGGTGTCTTTAAAAAAAGCTCTGAAAAATGTAATAGTATAGTATAGTCGGTCAACCTGAGTAGACGTGTGTGTGCGTGAGCTCCAGATGGCTGGTTAACTTTTAATTCTAACCTCTTGGACAATATGTCAAACCTGTCACTCTGAACTGTTAACACAAACATAAAAAATGGCGAATCTTCTTCTTTTCCTAGTTACGCTTTTAAAGTACTGTACCCTACTGTAACCAACCTATTGGTCCTGTGGGATCGATGTTATCCTTCTGACTCTAACCAGCCTATTGTGCCTGAGGGCCCAATGTTACCCTACTGTAACTAACCTATTGGTCCTGTGGGCCCGAAGTTACTGTAACCAATCTGTTGGTCCTGTCTCGATGTTACCCTACGGTAACTAACCTATTGGTCCTATGGGGCCGATGATAACCTCCTGTAACCAAGCTTTTGGTCCTGTGGGATCCATGTTACTCTGTAACCAACCAATTAGTGCTGTGAGACCGATGTTACCCTGCTGTAACCAACATATTGGTCCTGTGTTCCCGATGCTACCCTGCTGTAAGTGTAACCAAGATTATACCCTAGTATAACGAAGCTATTGGCCCTGAGGGCCAGAATATACACTAGTATAACCAACCTATTGGTCTTGCGGGCCAGATTATACCCTAGTATAACCAACCTATTGGTCCTGAGGGCCAGATTAAATTCTAGTATAACTAACCTGTTGGTCCTGTGGGCCCGAAGCAAGAGCTTTGATAGTTTCAGTTCCCAAAACCTGAACCATACTCGTAAACTTCTCACTCTCAATCTTTGCCATTTCCTGAATACAGTTACACAATCAAATCAAGTCAAATTCAAGGATCTTCAAGTACTAACAGTAACATATATTTGGAACACATCTTAAAGGGAAACTTTTCAAAAAAAAGATTGTATTAATGAACACATAAACCTGGGAATGTTTATTTATTTTAAAAACCAGGTATTCGGAAATTTCATAACGATAAACCAATTTCTTTGGCAAAGCCTGTGCACAATAAATGGAATAATATGATATGAACTGAATAGAAATCAATCTAACCTGACATTTCTCAATTTCCATTTTGTTTTGCTCAAGTGTAAATTTGATATCAGCCTCGCGAGCCAATTTCATCCTCTCCAGCTCTGCCTCTGTTTCTATTTTTAAAGCTTCTGCTTTAAGCTTTGCTCCCTCTACAGCAGCTTCAGCCTCTATCCTCGAAGCCTCAGCTCTGGCAATAGCCTCAGCCTTCGCCTAAAGAAATTATTTCTTGATTTTATTTTAAAATATATTTTGAAGAGTTCTGCAAAAGAGTGCAACACTGTCCTGGTATCCTTGTCCTAGAATTCTGTTCTCTAACCCTGTCAAGACACCCTATCCTGGTATCCTTGTCCTGGTAACCTATCCCGGAATTCTGTCACCTTACCCTGTAAAGACACCCTGTCAGGTTATACTTGTCCTTGTAACCTGTCCTAGTATTCTGTCCAGGTACCCTGTCCTGGTATCCTTGTCCTGGTATTCTGTCCTCTAACCCTGTCAAGACAAACTGTCCGTGTATACTTGTCCTTGTAACCTGTCCTGGTTCCCTAACCTGGTATCAATGTCCTGATATTATATCCTCGTTACCTGTTCTGATTACCTGTCCTGGTTACCTGTTCTTGTTACCTGCCCTAGTTATCTGTCCTGGTTACCTGGCCTGGTTACTTGCCCTGGTTACCTGTCCTGGTTACCTGTTTTGGTTACATGTCCTGGTTACCTGCCCTGGTTACCTGTCCTGGTTAACTGGCCTGGTTACATGCCCTCGTTACCTGTCCTGGTTCCATGTTCTGATTACCTGTCCTGGTTTCCTTGTCCTGGTTTCCTTGTCCTGGTTACCTTGTTCTGGTTACCTGTCCTGGTATCCTAGTGCAGATACCTGTCCTGGATACTTCTCCTGGTACCCTGTCCTGGTTATCTGTCCTTGTATCCTGTACTGGTATCATGTCCTGATTACCTGACCTGGTTTCCTTGTTCTGGTTTCCTTGTCCTGGTTATCTGTCCTGGTATCCTCTCCTGTAAATCTGTCCTGATAACCTGTCCTATTACCCTGCCCTGGTATCCTGCCCAAGTTTTCTTGTCCTGGCTACCTGTCCTAGAGTATCCTGTCCTTGTATTCCGCCCTAGTAAACCCGTCTTGGTATCTTGTCCAGTTATCATGTCCTGAATACCTGTCCTGGTAATCTGTCCTAGTATCTTGTCTTGTTATATTGTCCTGAATACCTGTCCTGTAGATTCCGCAGCAGCGCTCTCAGCTTGAAGAACAATCAACTCTCTTCGTTCCTTCTCTGCCAAGGCCTCGTCAGAGATCCTTTGCCGTTCTAGCTTTCCCTTCGCTCCCTACACATCAGGTTATTTCATTATCAAAACCTATTCATAGGTGGGGAGGAGGGGGGGAGGGGGGAGGGATATATTTTTTGAGCAATGAAGTCTTAAAAATCTTATTTAATGAGTTATCTTATCCATGAATTCACATCTCTAAATACCAATTCATTTCCATGCAAGCATTTAAAACTGAAAGAATGTGTGCTTTCAAGTAAAAACTATTCATACAAGCTTCAAAATCATAATTTCTTCTTAAACACGAATAAATGCACGCGCGTATCATCAAAACAGGCAGATGTCAGAAATCTTGTGTCGTATCTTGATTCCTTCAGTTTTTAAATAAAGTTTGACGTTAAAATGTGAAAATTTAATCAGAGACAAACTGTAAAGTTTTATGATCAAAGATTAAGAATTTCTACGATTACGACTTAAAAGTTTAATTGAACTGCGGTGTTGAACCCTTCAAGTTTAAATGGAAATCCAAACTTAGTTTTCAGTTTCAATGCAATGTTGCATGCAGGATACAGAGGATCTTAGTTTCAGATACATGAGATAGCATGATATATATCATATGTAATACAGGGTGACCCAAATTGTAAATATATATATTATATGTAATACAGGGTGACCCCAAATTGTGAATATATATAATGTGTAATACAGGGTAACCCCAAATTGTAAATATATATCATATGTAGTTCTGGGTGACCCCAAATTGTGAATATATATTATATGTAATACAGGGTAACCCCTAATTATGTAAAATCTCTAATATATTCTTTTTGTATAGTTTTTAATATAGGAGGGATTTTCTTACATTGTTTTACGTTCCGTCACAACGGTATCCTTAAAAAAGCTTTGTCTGATCAAGTATCAATTTTAAATCAATGTTTATTAATTTAAAACTGTGTATATTTTCAACTTTGGCTTCTCTGTGAAAATGTCTTTCGCATTTCTAATGCAGGAAATCATATAGGAATAGGAATCAGAGTTAAAATATTTTAAACCTAGAAGAACGACAATAACTTCCACACTATTGATCACGTGAAGGTTTTAAGGTACCGTTGTGAATCGATCATTGCCACCGTTGCATGGAGGTTTTTTTAAAATTAAGTTAACAGTCCCTTTAACAGCAAACATTGCATCAAAGTAAAGATACTTCTTGATCACTTGTAGACCATTTATGAAAACTTGAATTCTGATGATAAATTATCATTCGTAACATACAATAAAAAGCAATGAACGACTGCCTCCTGTGTGTCTGTTTATTAATATTTGATCAAACCTGTTCTATCCTCTCCGCCTCTCGTTTAGCAGCTGCTTCCTGAGACTGGGTTGTAATCTCTATCGCCAGAGTTACGGACTTCTGTAAACTGTCTCTAGTTCGCTGATCTACTGGTTCAACGGATCTGAATTAAACAAGTTGTTGTAGTTCACCGATCTACTGGTTCAACGGATCTAAATTATACATCTTTGCAATTGGCTCAACTCAACGGAATACGGATCTAAATTAAACAAAGGAATTGAGTTCTTGCTACAAAGTATGGTTTTTTAATCCCTATATCTTTGCAATCCAACGTCGTAGACCCTAGATATTTCAAACTGTGATTCCTAAATTATTAGTTAATGTAAGTTTGAAATATCAAAGGTTTACACCATCAAATTGCAAAGATATAGGGATGTGAAGATTTGAGTTTGTGGCAAAGACTCAATTCCTTTGTTTTAAATCTTCATGACAGAAACAATCTCAAGAACTGACAAGGGTCATCCAAGACCGAAATATATTTTCAATAAAATGTGATCATCTACTTTTTTTCTCTACAGAGGTTTGGTCCATCACCATCACCGAATTTCAAATTAGTCTAGTTTTAACAAGGTGTTATAACAAGTTAGCCAATGTATATACATTTCCGTACATTATTGTAACTTATATATTTGTTCTTTAGGCACTTGCTTATTTGCTGTAAAAACAATCCATTGTTGCTATAAAAGAAAATAAATGCTGACATACATGTTAGTTTGAAAGTTGAAGAAGACTTACTTTATATCAACTGATGTTACACACAGATTGTTGGATTTGAATATCAGAATATCAGATTCCTTCTCTGTTCCAAGATCTATTCCAAATACAGCCTTCTGAATAATTGTGGCAGAGTGCTTATGAAAATCATCAAAGGTTACAGATGAAACAGCTCCACGAATCTTAGAAGCCATAGCTTTGCAAAGATCACCAACAAAATCAGCAACAGAAAATATCTTAGAAGCATCCTTGTCGTTGGATTGATCTGTCACTTGGAAATGCCAGTTGTAAGAGAGCTCTAGCTGAAGTCTAGAAAAAATAGATTGATAATTTCCATTTTCATATTTTTATCAATTTTATTATTTTAAACTTCACACACAAATACATATAATCATTAAATGGTGTATTGTAAAGATTAAAATAATCCGTGAGAAATTATATCAAAGGCTGTTTATCTGGCAAGATAATCTTTTTACCTGGAAAGATCAGCTGTTTATCTGTCATGATCACTGTTTACCTGGAAAGATCAGCTGTTTATTTGCCATAATCATTAATCACTGTTTACCTGGAATTATCAGCTGGTTACCTGGAAAGATCAGCTGTTCAACTGGTATGATCAGGTGTTCTGGCATGATCATCTGTTTGCCTGGCATGATCAGCTGTTTACCTGGAATGATCAGCCATTTGCCTGGCATTATCAACTGTTTACCTGACATGATCAGCTGTTCACCTGGCATGATCAGCTGTTCACCTGGCATGATCAACTGCTTACATGCCATGATCAGCTGTTTACCTGGAATTATCAGCTGTTTACCTGGCATGATCAGCTGTTTACCTAGCATAATCAGCTGCCTACATGGCATGATCAGCTATTTACCTAGAATGATCAGCTGTTTACCTGGCATGGTCAATTGTTTACCTGCCATGATCATCTGTTTATATGACATAATCAGCTGTTTGCTAAGAATGATCAGCTGTTTACCAAACCTAATTAGCTTTTTACCTGGCATGATCAGCTGTTTACCTGGCATGATCAGGCGTTTACCTGGCATGATCATCTGTTTACATGATATAATCAGCTGTTTACCAAGAATGATCAGCTACTTACCAAGCATGAGTAGCTGTTTCCCAAGCCTTACCAGCTTTTAAATAACCAGAAAACTATGTTTAATACAGTGATAACCAGAAAACTATGTTTTATACAGTGATAACCAGAAAACTATGTTTAATACAGTATAACCAGAAAACTATGTTTTATACAGTGATAACCAGAAAACTGTGTTTAATACAGTGATAACCAGAAAACTATGTTTAATACAGTGATAACCAGAAAACTATGTTTAAAACAGTGATGCTATGAAAACTATGAAACAGGAAGAAGACATTAGACCAATACCAGTGTATTTGATGTAGTTACAAAGCAAATGTGAGATGAGTCTGTGAACACTGCACAATTGATGTGTCCCATGCTCATTTGGATATTTAAAGTCATAGCTTGAGTCTAAAAGTCGTCTTCCCGTTTCAGGATTTTCTGGGGATCCCTGTAGTTACTTGTAGCAGACTGCAGTGCACAGTCAGTGCTATTGTTTAAAAGCTCATAAGTACTTATGGTTGGTTTTTGCATTTTCATATTTCTAAAATTTTTGGAAAACCTCAGAATAACAAATAAACCACATTGCATTATATTAGCAGAGACAGTTTACGCTATTTTGCACAAATTGATTTGCACATTTTATATTATTTTGATTGTACATCAACCTTTAGAATTTATTCTTAAAATGCAATAATTTTGCACAAGGTTCATAAACTGATGATGAATTTAAAGACAGAGGTTTATTTGTTATTTTTATTTATGTTGTATGTATTTATTTATGTTTGTATTTATGTATGTATTCATGTATGCATGAATTTATGTATTTATGTATGTATTTTTATATGTATTTGTGTTTTTATTTATTTAGTTATGCTTTTATATATGTATTTATATGCATATTTATATGTATTTATATGTATATTTATAAGTATGTATGAATGTATTTATCTATGTATTTATGTACACATGTACTTTATCCATCAGTTCGTTATCAGTTGCACTTAGTACATATATATCTTGGACTGGACACTACCAATTAATAAAAGCTTTTTAGTTTAATAATCCAAAAATATGCTTAATCTAGAATAGGCCGGGTTACGTAATAAAAATTAATTAAGTTTACGTTCTTTTCTAAAAATAAGTATTTGTTTGTTCCTTTATTTTTCCAGATTTGGAAAAGGTGTGTGTTGGAACGGACGTTTGCTCATCCCTATGTACACCAAGCTATATAAATATATATATAAATATATATTATATATATATAAATATATATATATAATATATATATATATATATATATATATATATATAAATATATATAAATATATATAAATATAAGTAAATCATGCCAATTCAATTATCCAAAGTTGATTTAATTAGAATGAACCAGGACATATCTGGAAAAAGCAGAGTAAATGATTATCTATGTATTTTAGCATTTTTATTTGGAAATAATCTATTTTTTGGCAGTATACTATGTTTAGAAATCATACGCACTCATGTAATGAACTATAAAATTCAAAATTGAATTTACAACAATGTGGAGAAAGTTTTTTATTGACGCCATTTTGGAAATAATTATGCATTCAAGTTTCAAAAGTGAATTCTGACTAATTCAATTAAAGGTTTCATGAAAATGTTTATTCCTAATTGCACCAGTAAAAACTATGTATACCCTATGCCAACTGAAAGCAAAAATAATAATAATATTGACGATGGTATTTAAATTGGTATCCAAAATAATTTGGAAGTTTTTGCCAATGGTAATAAAGTAAGCTTTGGAATCTCTTCAAGAAAGATCTGAGAATTTTTAACAGAATTCACCCTGGATATATATAATATATAATAATAAAATAATAAAATATCATCAAACAAGAAATCAAAAGAGTTAAAGATACCTAAGTTGTGTAAATTGCTCGTCAGGGCCCAGCATAACAAGATCGGGACCAAAGACGACCCTGGACTTTTTGCTCTTGTAATCATAAATCTGTACCGCGGCATTGTGTGGTACTTGAAATGTGACAACACGTGACGCGTCCCAGTCCTCCTCATCCTCCCTGAATTATTAAAAATATTAATTACAGAATGATAAAACCAAAAATTGTTTATTACCCGGAATCCTTTTTCTTTGATTTTTCTTTGCTGGGATTAATCCAATCCCCCCTGTCTGCAGCAGTATCTCTAAACAGAAACATTCAATCAAGGAAATTTCACCAAAGCTCGATACAGTTTTACTTCCCTAAATGTGCAGAAAAGGGGAGTACAAGTTTTTTCACGAAAATTTAGATAAATTTAGCCGATATAGCCTAAAGCAGCATGTTTTTCCTAGATAATTATTCTAACGTTATAGCTTTATAAGAGAATCCACTTTAGTGGTTTTATTTTATTTTGCTCCCTTCATGTCAAACTGAAGGAAAAACCACTTAATCACCATGCATCTTAACTTTTTTTTCTGAAGTGCTATTAAAAGAACAAAAATATTTTTAATTCATAATTTGTAACCAAAAAAATTTGCTCCTTTACACTTGTGTGTAAAATCAGAACTATAGGAGCAGCGGAGTCATATCGTGACAATAATATTAATTTGACCTTCTCCTCCTGGGGCTCAGCTACATTTTGCCTAGTCACATTTTGCCTAGTCCTAACTTGCCTAGTCACAGCTTTCCTACTCACAGCTTACCTAGTCACATTTTGCCTAGATAACAGTTTGCCTAGGGTAACATTTTGCCTAATAACATTTTGCCTAGGGTAACATTTTGCCTAGAGTAATAGTTTTTTCTCAAAGAAATTTTCAACAATCCGAGAATTTTTTTCAAAAATCTGCAACTTTATTGGCAAAAATTTCGAAATTTTTTTTTAAATAGTTCAGTTTTCTATAAACCAATCAGATCGAAAGACACATTGAAAATGGCTCCCATGATAACTGCAGGGCTTACCATTCGGGGTAAGCCCAAGTACAGGGAAAAGAACTTCTGTGTTTTCGATGGGAAGAGGGCAGAGACCAAGAAATGGCGCTGTTCTTACACTGCAACCCTAACAAATATCTAATGGTAACCTGGTAGGGGATGTACTCCCAACCCATGGCCATACCAACAAGCTGCTTAAGACTAAAGCTAAGACCACAGAAAAGGCTGTGATTGAGAAATAAGATAAATAATGATACCTATCTATACTCCATGATGTAAACTGTAATTAAAAAAAATATATGTAATAACCATATTTCATCTGTTGTAGAATATAAAAAATGTTAAAATTGCTGGACAAGATACAATTCAATTGTCTATGACATTTAATTCATTAAAATTTAACTGGTTAAGCCTAAAAACAATGTTTAATTTTTGACAAAATTTGTTAAAAAAAGCAATAGGCAAAAAACTTGCCCTTGTGCTACCTAAGCAAAATGTTACCCTAGGCAAAATGTTACTAGGCAAACTTGAACTAGGCAAAATGTTACCGAGGCAAAAGTGAACTAGGCAAGTTGTAACTAGGCAAAATGTAGCTGAGCCCTAGTTTGCCTTAAAAGTGTCAAATTTAGTGTTTTTAGTGTTTAGTATTCCCACTTCAAACATAATGCCTCCAGTTTAAGTTTGCCCCCTTTAGAATGTTAACTTTAATGTTTTCATTCTATAGTGTAACCAGCAGGAGCTCAGTAGCTCGGAGTAGGGAGTTCCATTGATATAACCCCTTCAGATCTCATACGGACCCGGAGCTAAGATCAGATTGCAAGTAAACCTGTCTGTAAGCATAGCAGCTCATTAGCTTATTGTATATAGCTGCAGGTCGGATCTCATTGTGTACAGTTGTATTCAAGATATTGGAAATAAAGCAACGCTCTTCCACGAATTACGTCCTGGACGCGTGGAAAACCCAAGCCGATATTGTGACCTTAGTGTTCTACTTCAAATCCAGGCCAATGATCTCGCTCCATCAGGAGGCATGATTAGGATTTGGCCGGAGAAACGGAATTTACCAGTAGAATCAGACAAGGGAGGTTGATCTGCCTTATGAGGTGGAAGAAAGGCGGACGATCCGTCAGAAGCTCCGGCTTGATTCTAATAAGTGTAGTATCGAATATTATCTGTTTTAAAGCTGTAAATACATTTTTTCTATCACTTTGTGAACTCATTCATTTTAGTCAAGTCTTCAACTTTTAATTGTAACAATAGTATTCCCGCTTTGTTCATATAGTGCCTCCATTTTTTATTGCCCTCTGTAGAGCATCATCTTATGTATTCATTTTTCCAGGAGATTTACCTTATAAACCTGGAAAGAGAAATATGTGGTGTCCCCTTACCATTATCTCTAAAAGAAAATATTAACTTGAACAGAAGCGGCCCTTAATTTTCTCCCAAATTGTTTCTTAGTACCGTTGTAAATCGTACAAGCCACGTTTTTACTTGGGAACACTGAAGTTCTTTAGTACAGGGTGTCCCAATAAACATTTCATATGGTCTTCGATCCATGTGGCATTTTTTCATGAAAACAATTATTGCAGTATTCCAGCTTAAACATCTAATATCGAAAACGCTTGGTCTTGAGATTTTCAAAATGTGGTCTATTTTTGTATCGGAGATATTATACAAATTTCAATTTATTTAATAAATAAAAATTGTCTAAATATATAATATCTTAGTCAATCTATTAGGACACCCTGTATACTAACCTGTCAGAAGAGAGCAAGGTTTTTACAATGGTAGGGAGGGATTTCTCCCATAGTTCCTCATCTTCTCCCAGCATATAGGTCTGACCTATCACAGCTCGAACCTTTATTTAAAGAGAATAGTCATAAGTATGAAAAAGACGCATTTTATCAAACAGAAGAATAATCGGCTGTTGTTAATGTTTCCTTTAAACATGATCCTCTCCCTTAACATTTTTGTTGTAAATAGAGGTTTTATCACAGAACTATCTTGGCAATATTATTGTTTAAGTAATTTATACAATTCAGAGTTTGTCAGATTTATCATCGGTACGGAATTTAAAAACAAACAAAAATGAAATAAAAGCAGCAACGGACAACGCGCGTCAATAAAAATAATTCATCAATTTTTTCGTTCCTTACTTGGCCAGTTTTGATGTTTCTAACATATATCCCTTCATTCTCATGAAGAGGAATAGCTTGTCTTTTTGTAACAACCTCAACCTCTACTGGTGGAATATATTCCAGGGGGCCCTAGATACATAAATATATTCCAGGGGACCCTAGATACATAAATTCATCATCATGAATCAAAAATTATAATTTATTTCTCAAAATTTTTTTTTACATTTATAAATAAATTATGAATTACATTACAGACAAGAATGATATTTCCAAAATTAAAATACGAAAGTATGGAGTTCCAAATAACTAACTATTATGGATTCTAAAAATTATTAAAAATAAATATCAAAGACTCTTTTGTCAACTAAAAATTTTAAATAAAAAAAAATGTTTTATTATTTTAACTAAATAAAAAAAGTAAAATAAACTCTTGCCTGGAGCATCCATTTGTCCCCTGAATGCCTTGAAACCGGAGGATTCTGGAATTCGTCCATAAAATTTTCCTAAAAATCATTATTGCATCAGAGGAGAAAAAATAGAAAATATAATTTAAAATGTTGCGACGTCAATGTAAATCCTGGATAATCTATTTTTAGTGTGAATAATTTTAGATATCAAATTTCGTCGCATCAAGGGCGTATACAGGGAGGGGGGGGGGAAGGGGGGCAGTGCCCTCTCCTAGAGCTCAGAGCTATCACACTTTTAAATCTAAAAATTGAAGAGTGAAGAAAATAAAAAAATAGTTTGTTGTTTTTTTTCTGCTAGTTTTGTTTGAAGGAGAGCTCAAGTAGTACTTGTAAGGTAATTGGACTGTATGTGATACCTTTAAAGTATCCAAGAAGCCAAATGTTTTGAATTTACAGTTCAAATTTTTTTCTGATTTATTTCTGTCTACGCCCTTGCGTCGTATTCTTCCATAACCAACGTTATTACTAAATTGCAAATGAAACTGGCTCTATTGAAATAGTTTTAGCTTGTTTGTTATTTGATTGGATTGTTAATGTACAGGGTTAGATTTCAGAGACGACTGTACGGAACCCTGAACATGTTTGTCTTACAAATCAAAAAATCTATGACCCCGCTAAAATGTCAAGCTCACGCGCAAATTTCCATCAATATTTGCCAATTATTCTTATTTTTGTAAAGCTAGAAACAAGTGCTAGTTCTACTAAATTAGCTAAAAAATTTTCAATTGTTTTCATTAATAACGGGGAATTGTAATAAATGAAAAGACTCCCTCCCTCCCTCCCTCCAGTATAAATACAGATACAGATTACTAGGATTATAGATGCTGTATCTAATCCTGAGCTCTAGGTTCATTACTCTAGTTCTCATAATATCCAATTCTATTTACATTTTCCTTTCAATCATTCATTTCCATAACCATTCTTCCTTTCCGGCCATATGTATTATTCCTTTCCATGACCATTCTTCCTTTCCGGCCATAATTATTATTCCTTTCCATGACCATTTTTCCTTTCTAGCCATGAGTATGATTCCTTTCCATAACTATTCTTCCTTTCCGTCCATGAGTATTATTCCTTTCCATAACAATTCTTCCTTTCCGTCCATGAGTATTATTCCTTTCCATAACAATTCTTCCTTTCCGGCCCTGAGTATTATTCCTTTCCATAACCATTCTTCCTTTCCGGCCATAAGTATTATTCCTTTCCATGACCATTCTTCCTTTCCGTCCATGAGTATTATTCCTTTCCATAACCATTCTTCCTTTCCGGCCATAAGTATTATTCCTTTTCATGACCATTCTTCCTTACCGGCCATGAGTATTATTCCTTTTCATAACTAATCTTCCTTTCCGGCCATAAGTATTATTCCTTTCCATGACCATTCTTCCTTTCCGGCCATAAGTATTATTCCTTTCCATGACCATTCTTCCTTTCCGTCCATGAGTATTATTCCTTTCCATAAAAAATGTTCATGTCCTTCCCCCTTTCTTTGATTTCTTTTAATTCATCCGTTTCTTTTCAGTATTTTTCTTTCACTTTCTTTCCCTCTTTCCCCACCTTTCCATCCTTTCTTATTTTCCCCACCTTTCCATACTTTCTTATTTTCCCCACCTTTCCATCCTTTCTTATTTTCCCTACCTTTCCATCCTTTCTTATTTTCCCCACCTTTCCATCCTTTCTTATTTTCCCCACCTTTCCATCCTTTCAAAATTTTCCCCATACCGCCACAATGATATATTCTTTGGAGAAATTAAAACCCATCGGTAGCGGTTGAACGAACGGTTGAGAGTTGAGACAATTAGTTTATACTCTTTGCAGTTTAAGATAAGAAATGAAAAATTGGTTTTTAATATTAATTTTATGTCTTCAACAATTGGAAACACAATTTTTTGATACTTTTTGTTTTGTTTCACCGCTGGAATTAGACATCTTCGTAACATTCTTTTGATTTCAACCACTAGAAATGCAAGTTTTTATTATCTTTTTTTTTACCTTCAACTGTAATAATTATACACACTTTTTTGATGTTTTTTTTTGTCATCAACCGTTGTAAACCCTTTTTTAGCAAAACAAAAATATGTAAAAAACGTGAAACCCAGTGGTAAAGGGCAAAAATATGTACCTAAAAATTATGATTTCAGATGTTGCATCAATTTTTAATAAAAAAAGAATTTTCTGAATTACGTCGTCGAGTCTTGACTAGATCTTTATCGCTCATTTAACGCTATTGATGAGTTTTTTTTTTCTCCAATGAATTTATCATTGCCCTATTCATTGTATTTTTTCTTCTAAGTATATACCATTGCCTTATTCATTGTACTTTTTCTCCAAAGTATTTATCATTGCCCTATTCATTGTATTTTTTTCTCCAAAGTATATATCATTTGCGTATTCATTGTATTTTTTCTTCAAAGTATATATCATTGCTCTATTCATTGTATTTTTTCTCCAATGAATATATCATTGCCCTATTCATTTAATTTTTTCTCCAATGAATATATCATTGCCCTATTCATTGTATTTTTTCTCCAAAGTATATATCATTGCCCTATTCATTTAATTTTTTCTCCAAAGTATGTATCATTGGCCTATTCATTGTATTTTTTTCTCCAAAGTATATACCACTGCCCTATTCATTGTATTTTTTCTCCATAGTATATATAATTGCCCTGTTCATTTAATCTTTTCTCCAAAGTATATATCATTGCCTAATTCATTTAATTTTTTCTCCAAAGTATATATCCTTGCTCTATTCATTTAATTTTTTCTCCAAAGTATTTATCATTGCCCTATTCATTTAATTTTTTCTTCTCCAAAGTATATTTGATTGCCCTTTTCATTGTATTTTATCTCCAAAGTATATTTGATTGCTCTATTCATTGTATTTTTTCTCCAAAGTATATTTCATTGCCCTACCATTTAAATTTTCTCCAAAGTATATTTCATTGCCTTAATCATTTAAATTTTACCCACAGTAAATATCAATGCCCTATTCATTTAATTTTTTCTCCACTTCCCGGTCTATTTTTCCATTATACTTATCCCTACCTATTTAATTCTTTCTCTCCCCTTTCCCATTTATTTACTACTTACTCCCGATCCCTCCCTCCTCTTTTTCAGTTCCCTTTCCTTTTTCATTTCTTTTTCCTTTTTCATTTCTCTTTCCTTTTTCATTTCTCTTTCCTTCTTCCCATTCGCTATCTGGTCCATTTTTCTCCTATTCTCTATCCATTTCTTTCTTTCGTTCCTTCGTCTCTTTTTCTCTATTGACTTTTTTCTTTTTTCTTTTCCCTTTTGCCTTTTTTCTCTTTTCTCCTTCATCGGAAATTGTTTTATATTTCTCGCTGTTCTTACTAAACAAATAATTATGTAAATAAACCAATAGTTGCAAATATTTAATTTCCGTACCTTTATTATCTTTATTCTACATTTATGTAGTTAAGTAATAATATTTTTGCTTTATCTTAGTTAACAATTTCAGAACTGAATAGCGCTTGTTTTTAGCTTGAGTTTCAAGAAAGTAATTGGCAAAATTTTCATTGATTTTTGCGTGAGAGTTGGCAACTTTTGTATCAGTGTGATATTAGTGTTTATGTTTTATTACCAGAGCACGGAGAACTATTCCCTCGTTATCCCCGAGAACGAACACATCCTGAACACCATCCTCAAGATTCTCATCAGGCTGCAGGAAGAAACTATAATAATAATAATAATGATAATAATAATGATAATAATAATAATAATAATAATAATAATAATAATAATAATAATAATAATAATAATGATAATAATAATAATAATAATAATAATAATAATAATAATAATAATAATAATAATAATAATAATAATAATAATANAAGTACTGCCGAACAATACAATAATACTGCCTGAACAATACAATAATATTGCCTGAACAATACAATAATACTGCCTGAACAATACAATAATACTGCCTGAACAATACAATAATACTGCCTGAACAATACAATAATACTGTTTGAACAATAGAAAAGTACTGACTAAAAAAAAACTAATACTGCAGCCTGAAAATCTAAAAAAATGGTCTTAACTTTACTATACTGCATACTACAGCAAATTTTAAAATACTCCCGAAGAATTGCTTTTTTGCTATAAACCTAACCTACCCAACCCTCTATCCCCTCAACCTCCCCCTCAGTTGAAGGTTTCAGGAAATTAGCAGATTATGATACTACTAATGTAAACACTACAAACAGGGTTATATATATAGAGCAAACAAAAACTTCATCAATCAAAAACCGTGTAATATATCCGGAAATTGTAATCAAGTAGATTGTATCCTACAAAACACGTCAGTTCGAAAAATAGTTTAGTTTTCAAAATATTTATAATTTTCAAATGTAGTTTTCAAATCTCAATACAACCGAATTTTTGAGACAAAGACTTATGTTTACAGATTATAATTGTACGTATATCGTGCATGGAATTCTTTAAATAGGAGATTATCTAAAATAACGTTGTCTGCCACTTAAAAACTGTTTAAAGTGTTTAAAGCTATTCATTGATATTAGTCTTACGTTTCAAAGACAACTGTGGCCTGAGAATAAGCCGATTTATCATTCAGAATTTCAGCGCAAAGGTATGATACCTTTGCATAGACACTATTTGATGCTTTTTGTCAGAGTCATAGATTTTTTTAATTTTCAAATATAAGATTAAATTGTATTATCTATTAGTTAATTGTAGATATCTTTAATTTTTTTCAACTTTTCCTTAAATTTGTCTATTTGCAAAATATAACTTATTTTAAACATCTAGTTTTCTCTACTTCCCCAGAAATCCCCGTGATTTATTGAAGAGTTGGAATCTAGGTACCGGATTGTCTGAGAGAGAAAGTCGTCTTTGTATAAACGTGTTAATTTGTTGAATCATGTTTAGACACGAAAAGCGTTAATTTCTTGCTAATTATATGTTATATCATATAATGGCTGACGCATGATGTCATTAAAGATAATTTTAGATTTTATTGGACTTTAACTGAAAAAACGTTTAAATAGTGTCTATGGAAAGGTATCATACTTTTCCATTGGAATTCTAAACAATAAATCGGCTTTTTCTCCGGTCATAGATATCTTTGAAAAATAAGAAGACTAATACCAATGAATAGCTAATAGGCTAATTAGTTAGCCTATTATGAAATTACTCAAATAAGTGAACGGTCCCTTTATGTTCTGTTTAGTTTTTGTTCGGTTTTGCAGTAATATAGTTTTCTTTTCTTTTTTTTACGTGGTAGTCATGTTTTAAAATATAGAAAACTGTACACTTCTTGTTGTGAGATTTTGTATTAATCACCGATTCAAATTCTTCCTTAATCTTTAACTTTGAATCGGGGATTCAAATTTGAACCGACAAAGGTAGTTCAACGGCGTAGCTAAAAATTCATTATATTTGGTTCAAGAACAAATCTTGATGTTTTGTGGCATGATAAACAAATGACGATATAGATATCTTAATGGAGTTTACACTTAACTAAGTCATTCAAAAGTACTGAACTATTAACTAAATACTCAAATTTTTATTGAGAAATTTTTATATATGTTTTCAAATTTTCCATTCCCCCCGCCCCCTCCCTCCAACTTTTCTACATTGTCCATTTATCTTGTTTTCTATTAGTATTCCTACTGCAGACCTTTACACCGTACATAACTGAATTCAAGATATACAGGGTTACCTACAAAGGATGAGGCTCTAAAGACGACCCAAAACTATGAAATATGACAATTTGTAGCTTTTTGATGGTGTAACTAATGGTTAAGCACAGATAAAAGCCAGTTTTGGCCAACAAGGCACACTGAATGCAAGAAAACAGAACTAAACATATTCTACCCGTAGGCGTACACAGCTGAGTTCAGAATATAAGGTTACTGTATCATAGCTTAGATCTACTGTTTCCTGAGTCACGGAAGTTCGTAGTAAGATTTTGACTCCACTGGAGACCACCGGAGGGAATTCTTTTTCACTGGAGGGGTTTGAAAAAATGCTTTTTCAATTCAAAATTTTACGCAGGGTGATTTACATTCCAAGTGGAATTATAAACTCCTAGGAAGGATAACTGAATCCCTCCAGTGGAATAATAAACCCACAGGAAGGATATCTGAATCCCTCCAGTGGAATTATAAACCCCCAGGAAGGATATCTGAATCACTCCAGTGGAATCATAAACCCCTTGGAAGGATAACTGAACCCCCTCCAGTGGAGTTATAAACCCCTAGGATGGATATCTGAATCCCTCCAGTGGAGTTATAAACCCCTAGGAAGGATAACTGAATCCCTCCAGTGGAATTATAACCCCCTGGAAGGACATCTGAATCCCTCAAGTGGAATGTAGATCACCCTGCGTAAAGTTTTAAATTGTAAAAAGCATTTTTTGAAACCCCTCCAGTGAAAATAAAATCCCTCCGGTGGTCTCCAGTAGAATCGAAATCTTATTACAAACTTCTTTGAGTCCTGTTTCCTAGTTTTAAATTTCTTTTAATATTCATTTTCGAGTTCAAAGTAAAAAAGGATAAGCTGTTCGAATACACAGTATACAGTAGAAAGTTAAGGCCCTTCTGTCGAGTTCTAATGTCTATAATTAATTTTTCATTCATTTTTATCTTACCTATTTGTTAATGTTGTTATATAAACTTGTCCAACGATCTCTTCGTATACATCAGGAATATACGCCTCCAAATCCTAAACAGTTTTTTAATGGTTAAATTATATTTTCATCAGAGGCCATTCCTTCCATAATCTACATTGGTGGTCGACAACTTGACGTCTCCTATATTGGTCGTCAAATGTACGGAGAAATATCTATCTATCAGATAAGAATTTAACATGAGGCATCTAGCGGCCAACATATCTTCCCCCAAAGTACGTGAACTACACGACCACATGAGATCGGGCTCTGAGGTATATCCAATGTACGGAAAATGTCGTCTCCTATAGATAGATACAAATCTCACATGACCTCTCGCTTCTATAATCAGTGCAGATGTCATATGATCTATCTTAGGAGACGACAATTTCCGTACATTGGAGCACACCGAGATTTACCTGACTTATTATACAATATTCGGCAATATACAGATTGATTTAATTTTTTAGTCATTTACTTTCAGTGAACAGCTAACCAGAAGCCAGGGAATAATGCACTAAACCAAATGCGTATATTCAAAATTAAGAGATCAAGCAAATTCTGCGTATAATTCAAAAGAGTCTACTGTGAATATCGAAANCCCCCCCCCCCGAAATAACTTATTTTTTGCAGAAAAACAAAAACAAATGTTAAGGGAAGGAAGTAAACCCTTAATATTATACCAGGAATACGTTTAATTTTTTTTCCCTCGAATTATTATCTTTTCCCCTTTCATTTTATTCCAGGATTTTAAAGTTTGATAAAAATAATTTTCTAAATCTTGAAACTCTGTTAAACAAGTTGAAAACTGAATCAAGAGGAAGGTTTTGGATTTGAACAGTATACAAATATTTTATATTTTTTATATTTCTAACTCAAAGTTAAAGATTTTGCTAAAAAAACGTTGCCTTGATAGTGATGAGATATTCCTCTCCAGACTTACGCACTTTCCCACTTCCATCCTTGAAGGTCTGCGCAGCGCGCACGTGCACAGCTACCTTTTCGGTCAACACATACGCACTGTGCAGAAATAATATAAGGTAAAGTGTCGGTTCACTAATTTAGATTTTAGGTATAGAGTCAAGTCACTTATTTCCAAACAGGGAATAGGATAAACTATCATGTAGCGTCCTAAAAGTAATAATAATAATAATAATAATAATAATAATAATAATAATAATACTTGACGGTTTCTACAATTTCTTCGTAAACTCCCGGAAGATAAGCTCCGTTCTTTCTGACCAACCATTCTTCTCCAGCTACCCTTGCCTTGCCATCCCGGTCAACCGTCTCCCTGTCATATATTTTATGTTTAAAGTGACTGTTTACGTAATTTGAATGGAACCTTGTTGAAATTAAATTGATAATCTGTTCTTCTTTTCTCTTCTAAATTGGAAATAATTTAATTTAATAATTCTATAAGTCTATAAATTCATGACTAATCTTGATTTAAGTTGAATTATATCTACCCCCTAAAAACCTTCAACTAATTATGCTTTAAAACCGACAAAAAACTTTTCTAAATGAGAACTTTACATGTTTTTATTTCTTGTTTTATAATTATAATTTTTGTTTATAGTAAAGTGTTGAGAATGTTTATCTTAAAAAACTTTTTCCGAATAAGTTTGGTTTCGTAAAAGCTTTACGGAACCTTTACTGAAGCTGTCAAGAATAATAAACCATTAAAAACTTTCGGTAATAAAAGGCGGAACTTGTCCTAACCGAATTTCAAATAAATCTATCCCTTAGATTGCAGATGGTACACACTACACAGAGCTAGGTGCAAGATGTGGGACTGGGAACAAGTTTCGGGACGATTATTCCTAATAGAATAGATCCGGAATATTCCAAATGGAATAGATCCGTAATATTCCAAATGGAATAGATCGGGAATATTCCAAATGGAACAGATCCGGAATATTCCAAATGGAATAGATCCGGAATATTCCAAATGGAATCAACTAGCATCTGGGAGGTAGATTTATTTTGAATTCTGCTAAAAAACCCTAGTTTACAAAAGTTTTAATGGTTTACAATTCACAAGAGCATCAGTAATGTTTCCGTAAGACCTAAACGGATCCAAGTTGATCCGGAAACAAGGAAACCCTATAGTATTTAAAAACAATACCAGACTGAATACCTTTCTTTATTTACGAAAAGAATATTTTCGATTTGAATGAAGAAAAAGAATTTAATAAAAGGTATCTCCAAATTATTTATACAAGAATAGGGAAAATATAATTATAATATATATGTATTATCCCAGCTTACCAAATCAGACTAATATAGTAATACAGAAAATTATATGTAGGTTCCATATGTATTTTTAATTTCCAAGATTTAGGTGAAGTTTTTAAAACTTTTTAAAGAACTTTTAACTAACATAAACTAAACTCCTAACAAGACTACATACCAACACTAAAAAAGACTATTAATTTTTCGACCCGGTAAATTCTCACTGTTTATTTCTCTATAAATTAATCAAAATGATAAATAAAATTATCATTAATTAACCCTTTAGAGTCTGCTATGCTATGAAAACCCTCTATTTTCAATTCAAAAAATTATCCATGTTAACGCTCTTCTGACCGTAAACATTTAATTTACGACTGACAACCGATAGGACGGAAAAAGAGTCGGAATACCATAGATAATGATAGATTGCACATAGGACAGTTAGCAACTTTACAGATATTTATTTATTTATTTATCTATGCGGAATACCCACCAATAGGATGACTAAGAAAACCTTGCACGATCTTACTAAGCTCAAAATTGTGACCTCAAAAGATTAAACTGTCTTTGGTATTTAAGAAAGGTTTGATTACAACGTTTTTTTTGACACTGCATGCCTGAATTATTTTCGGGTTTTGTGCAAAAAAAAATTATACCTGAGAGCTCTAAGCCTAAGTGCTTGATTTGGTTTTATTATTATAGCTTTCTCTTCACCCACAACCTCGACCTCTTTCCGGGGTACATAGGTACCAGGACCTAGAGTACATAGCAATATATACCTTGGTACATAGGTACCAGGACATAGAGTACATAGCTATATATACCTTGGTACTAGGACCTTGAGTATATATATATACCTTGGTACCAGGACCTAGAGTACATAGCTTTATATACCTTGGTACATAAATACCAGGACTTAGAGTACATAGCTATAAATACCTTGGGACATAGGTATGCAGGACCTAGAGTACATAGCTATATATACCTTGGGACATAGGTACCAGGACCTAGAGAACATATCTATAAATACCTTGGTACATAGGCACCAGGACCTAGTGTACATAGCTAAATACATTGGCACGCAGGTAACAGGACTTACAGTAAAAGCTATAGATACCTTTATACATAGATCATAGGAACCAGGACCTAGAGTACATAGCTATCTATACCTTAGTACATTGGTATTAGAACCTAGTGTACATAGCTAATCTATATACATAATTCATGGTACAAAGTGACCATGAATTAGAGTACATTAATAGATATGTAGAAATATAGAGATTTCGTCTTTTGCAAGTTTTTCTAGATTTACCTTCGAATAGAAGTTCATCCCCTGCAATCATTTCTTTTTCGCCAGTAGAGTAATCTCGGGTTACCCGTAACCTAGAATAAAGAAGATTACTTGCTAGTTCCACGTGACCTAGTATATAGATAATTACTCGCTAGTTGTACGTAACATAGAATAAAGAAAATTACTCGCTAGTTGCATGTGACCTAGAGTAAAGAAGATTACTTGTTAGTTGCGCGTGACCTAGAATAAAGAAAATTACTTGCTAGTTGCACGTTACCTAGAATAAAGAAGATTACTTGCTAGTTGCACGTGACCTAGAATAAAGAAGATTACTTGCTAGTTGCACGTGACCTAGAATAAAGAAGATTACTCGCTAGTTGCACGTGACCTAGAATAAAGAAGATTACTTGCTAGTTGCACGTGACCTAGAATAAAGAAGATTACTCGCTAGTTGCACGTAACCTAGAATAAAGAAGATTACTCGCTAGTTGGACGTAACCTAGAATAAAGAAGATTACTTGCTAGTTGCACGTGACCTAGTATAAAGAAAACTATTTGCTAGCTGCACGTGACCTAGAATAAAGAAAACTATTTGCTAGTTGCACGTGACCTAGAACAAAGAAGATTACTCGCTAGTTGCACGTGACCCAAAATAAAGAAAACTAATCACTAGTTGCACGTGACCTAGAATGAAGAAAACTATTTGCTAGTTGCACGTGACCTAGAATAAAGAAAACCATTTGCTAGTTGCACGTGACCAAGGTTAAAGAAGATTACTTGCTAGTTGCACGTGACCCAGAAAAAAGTATAAATATTGATCTTGAGTTGTTCTATCTACTGTACACTAACTATGATCTTCTTTATTCCCTTACTCTAATTGAGCTACTAAGTTGAATTTGTGTGCGGTGCTCCAACAAACTTTGTTAAATGACAACTTGAGATTTCATAGAGTGTACTGTATACTATATATATATTACTCTACTTACTACTGTATACTAAATATTGTTCTACTTACTACTGTATACTATATATTGTTCTACTTACTAATGTATACTAAATATATTGTTCTACTTTCTGTATACTATATATATTGTTCTACTTATCTACTGTATACTAAATATTGTTCTACTTACTTCTGTATACTAAATATATTGTTCTACATACTACTGTATACTAAACTTTGTTCTACTTACTACTGTATACTAAATATATTGTTCTACTTTCTGTATACTAAATATATTGTTCTACTTAGTACTGTATACTAAATATTGTTCTACTTACTACTGTGAACTAAATATTGTTCTACTTACTACTGTATACTTAATATTGTTCTACTTACTACTGTATACTAAATATTGTTCTACTTACTACTGTATACTAAATATATTGTTCTACTTAGTACTGTATACTAAATATTGTTCTACTTACTACTGTATACTAAATATATTGTTCTACTTACTACTGTATAAGAAATATATTGTTCTACTTACTACTGTATACTAAATATTGTTCTACTTACTACTGTATACTATATATTGTTCTACTTAATACTGTATACTATATATATATTGTTCTACTTACTACTGTATACTAAATATTGTTCTACTTACTACAGTATACTAAATATATTGTTCTACTTACTACTGTATACTAAATATATTGTTCTTCTTTCTACTGTATACTAAATATACAGTTCTACTTACTACTGTATACTAGATATATTGTTCTACTTACTACTGTATAGTAAATATTGTTCTACTAAATATATAAATATATTGTTCTGCCTACTGTATAATAATATATTGTTCTACTAAATATATAAATATCTTGTTCTGCCTACTGCATAATAATAAATTGTTCTACTAAATATATAAATATATTTTTCTGCCTACTGTATAATAATGTATNATATATTGTTCTACTTACTACTGTATACTAAATATATTGTTCTACTTACTAATGTATACTAAATCAGACTATCAGACTATATTGTTCTACTTACTACTTACTACTGTATACTATATATTGTTCTACTTACTACTGTATAATAATATATTGTTCTACTAAATATATAAATATATTGTTCTGCCTACTGTATAATAATGTATTGTTCTACTAAATATATAAATATACTCTTGTATTACTGTTCTCTAGAACTGACAGGTAATCAATCTTATACGACGTCTACCCATATACCCATACACTCTTATCAAACATTATATATATACAAAGGAAATGAGTTTCGCCACATATTCTGCTTTAATTCTTATTCTTAATTAATTTAATTCTTTTATCTTTGCAACCCATCGTCGTTTACCTTTGATATTTCAAATTATAAACGCTGGTGAATTAACAAGTCAATTTTTGAAATATCAAAGGTTTAAACATCCATGTTGCAAAGATATAGGGATGAGACAATTTGAGCTTGTGACAATAACACAGTTCCTTTAAAGGTAAAAGCATGAGAAAAAAAGAATAATAAAAATAAAATAATAAAGAGGCGGGAGAAACGCATACTAAAAACAAAGTGAGGCAAAAGAAAACCAAACTAATGTATCAGACAGGGTGTCTCAATACAACAGACAGGGTGTCCCAATGTATCAGACAGGGTGTCCAAATCTAATAGAAGTATAACTGAGTTAGTGAGGTAAATCATACAATAGTATAACTGAGTTAGTGAGGTAAAATCATACAATAGTATAACTGAGTTAGTGAGGTAAAATCATACAATAGTATAACTGAGTTAGTGAGGTAAAATCATACAATAGTATAACTGAGTTAGTGAGGTAAAATCATACAATAGTATAACTGAGTTAGTGAGGTAAAATCATACAATAGTATAACTGAGTTAGTGAGGTAAAATCATACAATAGTATAACTGAGTTAGTGAGGTAAAATCATGCAAAAGTATAACTGAGTTAGTGAGGTAAAATCATACAAAAGTATAACTGAGTTAGTTAGGTAAAATCATACAAAAGTATAATCGAGTTAGTGAGGTAAAATCATACAAAAGTATAATCGAGTTAGTGAGGTAAAATCATACAAAACTGTTTACACTTTAAAGTCGATCTGGTCTTGATCAGCCTAGATCTAAGTGATATGCATCTATAAATAAAAAGTAATATCTGTTTGTCTGTTTGTTTGTTTGTCCGATCATAACTAAGGAACCCCTGTAACGATTTGCTTCAAATTTGGGGAGAACGGGAGACCCACGGGAATTTTATTAGCTTGGTGTTTAGATTCTAAGTTAAGTGGGTTAGTTTATAATGGGAAAAATATCTAAAATCGTAATTTACGACAAAGCGCGGGTAAACGGTGGGACTAACTATGATTACCCTGGATAACGCTGGTTAACAGTAACCTACTTGAGTGCAGTAAGAGCTGGTACAACCCTGAGAAGAGAAACCTTGTTCTTGATCATCTCCCCAGGATACAGAGGAAACGGGTCCTGCTGCAACCTGAACAAAAAAAAAATATGAAAATCTAAACAATTATAGTGTCAAAGTTTGATTAATGAAGAGCCAAATAAATCTAAATATGTAAAATTGTAATCTTTGTTTGTTTGTTTGTCCGATCATAACTCAGAAACCCCTGGACCGATGAAAATAGGTAAAATGACTCCCCTGGGCCACACTGGGTTCCAAAGCTAGTAAAGAAATAAAGGAATAAAAAATAGAAAAAGATAAAGAACTGAATGTACAAATGAAGGATTGAAAGTTCAAATAAAAAAATGAAATAATAAAGAATAAAATAATAAAGTAAAAAGTTGCTTGAGGAGAGGATCAAGAATAGATTGAATGATTAAAAAAATTGAAAGATAAAATACTATTTTTTTTATCTTTCAATTTTTTCTAATAAAACTGATTTGTCATCTGTCTAAAATTCCCACAGGAAAACTGTCTTATTTGAATTGATTTGATTCAGATCCGGCGTATAAAAGTTTCAACCGCCTTAATAAATCACAAAAAGACAGGTTAAAAGATTAAAAAATATAATTCTTAAAACTTACAGAGTATTATTAGTATAATCTTTTATTCAAAACACAACCGCCGACAGAAAAAGTATGTAAGAGAAAAAGTTCACAAATTTTTTTGAATGGGTAAAATTAGGATCGATTACAGTTTAATGTGATTAAGGTTCGCTCACCTAATTTCTTCTTCTGCATGATCCAACCGAACCTTAAATAATATTATAATAAAATAAAACTCCTCTATCTATCTTTCTATCTATCTATCTATCTATCTATCTATCTATCTATCTATCTATCTATCTATCTATCTATCTATCTATCTATCTATCTATCTATCTATCTATCTATCTATCTATCTATCTATCTATCTATCTATCTATCTATCTATCTATCTATCTATCTATCTATCTATCTATCTATCTATCTATCTATCTATCTATCTATCTATCTATCTATCTATCTATCTATCTATCTATCTATCTATCTATGAATATATCCAGTATAAATTCTCCCTGAAGACATACTGGGATTGAACACCAGAAGCTTAAACTTTAAACATTTTATAATAATTCATTTTAAGTTTTAACTAATTTAAAACTTTCCATTTACTTTAGAAACTCCAACTTCAACACTTCATGTTCTCAGGGATTAATTCAGTAACTCAAATCTGGTAAAAACCATACGAAATATAGCATGAGTTTATGGGAAATATATACAAAAAATTTATGTTCATGGGTTTAAACTAGTTTTAATAGATGTCTAAATACAGAATATAAACAATCAGCGATTGTAATTAGGTATTTTACGTATTTTACATCCATTTTTAAAGAATTATTAAGATTTGCATTGATCTCTATAAAATCAATGAATCATACAAACAGAAAAATATATGTTTCAAAAGATAAGGAGGATTTAAAGGTTAAAAACATTATCTTTCCAAACAAATAGTATTATTATACAGGATTAGGTCTGATGTATGATAAACTTGACGGTATTACATGATTAATAAAAAAATTGAATTTTAAAAAAATAAACATTTAAAAACTAAATTTAACTTTGAGGATTATTTCCATGCACCTTAATTCTAAACTACTTATCCTGAGCTTCTGAAAATAATGAAATTAATCCGGTTTTGAAATAATATTCGTAAACGTCTAAAGTTTCCCTTTCAGCAAAAGGATCATTTGTTCCACCTTATTCAAACATCCTGGCTTATCTATACTCTTTCTTACTATCTATCTATTTATCTATCTTTTTATTTATTTAAAACAAAACCGAACTAAACTAAACTAGACTAAACAAAACTAAACTAAACTAAACTAAACTAAACTAAACTTAACTAAACTAAACTAAACAAAACTAAACTAAACTAAACTAAACTAAACTAAACTAAACAAAACTAAACTAAACTAAACTAAACTAAGCTAAAATAAACTAAACTAAACTAAACTAGACTAAACTTAACCAAACTAAACTAAATTAAACTACACTAAACTAGACTAAACTAAAATAAACTAAACTAAACTAAACTAAACTAAACTAAACTAAACTAAACTATTTAACTATATTACCTGCCCCATTGAATCAGTCTCAACTTCCCCTTTCTCATTTCTGAAAATTAATTGTTACAAATAATTTTTTGAATAATAGTATAATTTAACTAACAATAATGATAATAATGATAATGATAGAAGTGTTATAATTATCTTAATAATAATAATAATAATGATAAAGCTAATGACAATAATAATACTAAAAACAATAGTAATAATGATAATAATTTTAATTCTGATAAAACTGATAATACTGATACTAATGATAATAATGATAATAATTAATAATAACAATGTTACTTACCGTAGGACAGGGTTTTGAATGATACAATAATGTCTGGGAGGAACTATAACCATTTTCTCAGGATTCATCAGAACCTGCAGAATAATAACAAACTAAACCTGTTTATTATCCTTCTATTTGTTAGTAAACACACTAAACCTGCTTATTATCCTTCTATTTGTTAGTAAACAAACTAAACCTGTTTATTATCCTTCTATTTGTTAGTAAACAAACTAAGCCTGTTTATTATCCTTCTATTTGTTAGTAAACAAACTAAACCTGTTTATTATCCTTCTATTTGTTAGCAAACTAACTAAACCTGTTTATTATCCTTCTATTTGTTAGTAAACAAACTAAGCCTGTTTATTATCCTTCTATTTGTTAGCAAACTAACTAAGCCTGTTTATTATCCTTCTATTTGTTAGTAGCTTATAGAGATGAGCATTGTTTTGTGAATGAAGGAAATTTTTGAAAGCTAATGATATTATTCGTCCACAATTGTATCGTTCGGAAAAATAAACGAACGATGATAGAACGAATCAGATCTGTCAGAAAAATAAAAAAGTTTTTAAAAGGAACAAATGCACGTTGAACAAACGAATAGAAAAAAAACGTCCAAACCTGTTCATTATCCTTCTATTTGTTAGTAAACAAACTAAACCTGTTCATTATCCTTCTTGACGAATGTCTGAGGTCCAATCTCTACCCTGGTGACGTTTGTAGTTTGATCCAGTACATGAAGATAGTGGTAGGGAGGTACCCTGTACACAGCCTGCTCCATGTCTTTATTCTTGTGACTCCTGCAGTATAGTATAGTTAAGTATAACCTGGAGAATGGAGGTTTTTACCTAGCTGGATCCAGATTTTGCTATTGGTAGCTTCAAATTTACTTATTAATAACAAGCCTGGTTAGCTGTTATTAAGTTTACGAATTCGTCAGAAAGACGTTAATTCTTTCGATTGAATCTGGTTCTTACAAACAGTAACTTTTTATTATACTTAACTAGATATTACTGGCGGTAAGATATCAAACTAAATAATAGTATGAATCAGAAATATGTGTTAAAATGCATTTTCTCTTGTCTACAACAGACTAGAATGCGTAGATATAAAAGACAAGAAGATACAATGGTCGGAGAAAAATTCACTGCTCTTTTAAATTAAAAAAAATTGTTAAAAAAATGTATTTTAAAAAAGGAAACAATGATTTTAAAAAACGTTACAATTAAGTTTTAATAAATTGTAATACAAAAATATGCTTACATGTTGTCGGGTAGAGTTTAACTGAAACTATTCTGAAAAAGAAATTTTTATATATGCAGTGTTTGTAGGTGAATTTTCATGATGTTACTATTGCAACAAGTCTACAGGATTTGCCGGTGATTCAAATGTTGCTTCTATGACATCATGCATTCAGGCAAATTTAAAATATTTCAATAAAATAGTAATTTATCTAAACGTCTTCAAGACTTTCCTAAATCTAAAGTCAGTTTTAGTCCTAGTTTTGTTCACTTTTATCACTTTTCCAGGTGTTTAAAGCCCTGAGTGAACTGGTATGACGGGGATATGGTGCAATAATATACCAATAGTCAGGCAGCTAGGCCTTCCTACACTCTGTTACTATACCTACTCATCGAGCTACACTCCCCAGTCCCCTAGTTTTACCTTATCAGTATTAGTTTAGTATATATATACACAGAGTACAGTGTGGTGTTGTCTGTGTACAGTGTACACCTCTAGTAGTCATGGTTAAGTATGGTTTGGTGTGGGTGTATGGTATTTGCAACACAATATAAAGTATTGATACTAAAATATATCACTAGAAAGCTGTGTGTGAATAAAATCTATACCATCCTTTTACACTATACACTGTACAGTGAGAAATTTTGCGGGAAATGAGTGTAGTGTACACATAATAATTCCGTACAGGATGTACAGTATAAATCTTTATTCGTGTACAGTTGTACTTATGCACTGAACACAATACAAATATCTAACACTGTCCAACAAAAGCGTGCGTTGGACTCGACGTCCTAAATGTGCAACATTTTTAAAGAAATTTGAATCTGAAATTTAAGTCAATTGATGTATAGCTTAGGCTACATGCATGCATGCGTCTGTAATAAACATGGGTTTTAAGAGATGAATTAAAAATCGTTTTTGATTTCCGACAGTTGATAAATGACAAATAGTGCATCAAATTAAACAATTACTTCTAACGAACTTTCCAAACTTTGTAGCTTCCAAATTGAGATATTAAATATTTGAACGATTTTATTTGTTTTTAATAAAATTGTACTTAGGACAAATTTTTAATATCTCCGTCAATGTTTAAGGTGCCAAAATGGTAAACCACATTTTAAAACTCCCCAGACCTCCCAGACTATGGCAGTTTTAACTTCAACTATTTTACTGGAATACTACCAAAACTGTGTGAACTTAAAAATATCGCACGGAACAAGACAATGTAGAAGTCGTCACTTAATTCCCATGTTTATTGGGACACCCTGTACAATGCAAAACAGACCAAACATTACATTTAATTTCAATTTATTTAAAGAGTTTAAGAAAGTTTCAATACACCGGGAAGAAAACGACGATAAGCTAAAAAACCAAAAATAAATTGACGGAAATGTTTTTATGATATTTTTTTTTGAGAGAAACAAGTTGACAGTTTTCAATTATTTTCTTAATTGATAACTCATCTTGGTATAGAGAAAATTAATTTCAATTAACTATTTAATTAAAGAAGTAATTAAAGAATGAGCTAAATGTTGGATAAGATGGAAAACCAAGATAAGAGATTAGAAAAACTTACAAAACTTTCCTCACAAAAAATCTTAATGCTCTTTTTCTAATTTTTCTTGAACTTATTCTAGTTTTTCCTATGGGTCTTTTTTTGTTCTTGTGGTTTTTGTTGTTCTTTCTCTTGCCTTTGTTTTTGTTCTTTTTCCTGATTTTTGAAAATGTTCAATGAAAAATGTTATTCTTATCCTGATTCTTGTTTATTTGTTTGGTTCCTAATCTTGTTCTTTATGTTCATAATCTTATTGTTGCATTTGGTCTTGTTCTTGCTTTTTTTGTTTCTAATCTTGTTTTTTTTGCTCGTGATCTTTTTTTTGCTCTTGATTTTGTTTTATCGTGTTTTAGGTCTGCATGGCGGACTGCAGAGTAGGAGCGAAGACTGGAGTAGATTAACCCGATCATCTACTTCAGGAAATGTACAGGGTAAACGTTTATAGGATATGTACAGGGTAAACACAGGGATATGTACAGCCTTACAGGGTAAACAAAAGGATATGTACAGGGTAAACACAAGGATATGTAAAGGGATGGTATACACAGGGATATGCTCACGGTAAACACAGGGATATGAACAGAGTAAACACAAGGAAATATACTAGGTAAACACAGGGATATGTACAGGGTAAACACAGGGTTTATGTACAGGGTAAACACAGGGATATGTACAGGGTAACACAGGGGGTTTATGTACAGGGTCAACACAGGGATATGTACAGGGTAACACAGGGTTTATGTACAAGGTAAACACAGGGATATGTACAGGCTAACACAGGGATATGTATAGGGGGTATACACAGGGATATGTACAAGGTAAACAGAGGGATATGTACAGGGTAAACACAGGATATGTACAGTGTATACACAGGGATATGTACAGGGTAAAATAGGGATATGTACAAGAGAAACAAAGTGATATGTACAGGGTAAACACAGGGATATGTACAGGGTAAACATAGGGATTTGTACAGGGTAAACACAGGATATGTACAGGGTAAGATAGGGATATGTACAGGATAAACACAGGGATATGTACAGGGTAAACACAGGATATGTACAGGGTAAGATAGGAATATGTACAGGATAAACACAGGGATATGAAAAGGGTAAACACAGGGATATGTACTTGATAAACAAAGGGATATGTGCAGGGTAAAAACGGGGATTCATTATATTTGTTTCCCGATCACTTTCAATTAAAATTTCAGTTTGTGGGTTGAGTAATGGGAAGGATTGGAGTTTCTCTAAACCGGAGAATAAAACCTGGAAAACCTTAATCCAAGTATCACCTAAACCTGAGACTAAAACCTGGAAAACCCTAACCAAAGTATCCACTTCATCCTACACTTGTATCCCGAGGATGAACATGAAGTCCTACAACTACATGAAAGTGTCCGAGCTGAATCTAGAAAACCGGAAACTGTGTGAGAAAATGAGGGAAACCCTAATGAAACCCCGAGATATACTCCAAACTGGGCAAACGTTGAAAAGTGGAAAGAAAAATGTCGGCATTGAAATATTTCCCGCCAAACAGGAATCTGAGATGGGGAAAGTAGCGGAAAAGAAATTAGGAAAAGAATCGGCTGATGTTGTGAAGGAAATTGAAAAAGCTGATTTCCCGATGTATCCGGTTCTAAAAGTAAACACAACTCAGGTTTGTTAAAAACAAATATTATTTTCCTCAGGAAAAACAATTCTAGGGGTATTGTTGATTCTTTTTAAAATTATATTTTTAAAACAAAACTATATTTTTAGACGGAAAGTTGGATGGAGGATGATAAAGCTGACAGGATTAAAGCTGAGGAGTTGAAAATATTTACTCAAAAGGTTTGATTTTAATTTAGATGTAGAAACTATTAGAACTCAATTTTCTATTTTGTTAATTTAAATCAACTAAAACTAGAAAATTCAAAACTTACATTCTTGCAGAAGTGCCGAAATATATCTTTTTCCACAAATGCATGCATCTTGCTTCGCATGCTGAATGCTAGGAACGGTTGCAAAAAAGATTTTGCAAAATTTGAATTATCCGCTGAAATGGTAATTTTTATCTTATTTTGATTCCTTTGATTTAAATATATATTGCTATTGCCAAAATGGTGATATTCTTAAAAAAATACTTAAATGCTTTGAAAACATAAAAAAATTGTACTAGTCTCCTCAAAAATGCACTAGACAGTAGTTAAAATGATAAAGCGGATGTTAATTTTGTGTTAAAACTTTAATATTTGCAAATAGTCAAAAGAATGGGTATTTTTTATTTGTTTTGGGTAGATTACGGATGCAGTTAATTCTATTGTTCATCGGATTATTTTTATTCATTATTAGGGAGACAAATTAAAGTATAAATTATTTAAAAATAAGTACAATGTACAATGTACATCCCATTTACTTGATACATTGTGAAATGCAAGGATTTAATGCAAGGAAAGTTATTTAAGAACCAAGTGTACGCATGTTATGTACTGCAGTTTACTGGGCGGTAATGTAAACACAAGACGGATGTCGAAGCCTGAAATGGGATCCATCTTTCACATAAATGATCAATGAAATATTCTGGTGATAGAACTATTATGTGAATTATCAAAATTAACAAAATTCAATGCTTTTAACCTCCTCGGATACTGAACGAACACTGAGACATCTATTCTTGTTTACAAATTCCGTCCAGAGAGAACTGGTTACAATATATGTACGCAGAGTATACGCAACTGCAATTAACTTTCCTTGCATTACATTTTTGGTGAAATGCATCAACTTATATGCTTTAATGATTAAATATTGATAATAATAAAATACATTTATCCAGTTTATTATTCTGTAGGACTGTTTACTCAAGATTGTGAGTTTAATAGTTGGAGAGAAGTCCAAACAGTTGCTAAAACCTGGGAGCAAGCTCAGAATGCTCCTAGAGCAACATCTTGCTCCTCTTCTTCTTTCGGATCCTGAGTTCATACTCAAGGTAGTACAAGGTGGCCCAATAAACATGGGAATTGGGAGACGACTTGAGTATCGTCTTTGATTTCCGATAATTATTAAATAACGACGAAAAAGTGTAAACAAAATTCTACAGTAAACTAATTAGTTGCTTAGGAACAGGTTGATAAATAAAAATTAACTCTTATCATCGAAAATAAGTAATCTTATTCAATTATCAGTTTCTATAATCTCTCATTATTCACAAAGATTTTCTGGACTTTTTATTGAAAATACAACATTTGAAGAATTTGTAGAAATCTGCGAACAAATTCATAGATAATAAGAAATTCAATATAATGATGAAAACGAAATAATTGGTTCTAGCATTGATTTATTGACAAATTTCTTTTGAGAAATATGCTCCTAACCATCTAATTAGTTTACTATTGAATTTTTACTATATTTTTGTCGTCCGTCGTTATCTAAAAATAAAAAAAAGATTCTGAAAACGTACCCACCCAAATTCATAATTTTTGAACGTCGACTTTGCGCTCAAGCTCAGTAGTTTTACATCGTGGAAACGTTTCATAAGTTTCAAATAAATGCTAAAAAATTTTCTACAATACTGCATACTCAGTTCAACCACCATACATTTCCGGTCACTCCCTTTAATGTTGTACATTTTCTAGGTGTCATTGTATTGCAGACGTGAACTAAACCTTCGTCTAGTTTCAAATTTTCTTTTGGCATATGCAGCTGCAAACAAGAACACTGCCGGATTTCTTAAGAAATATTTCAAAATGGCGGTCAGGTAGAAACTAGACTTTCATGTTTGTTTGACATTTCTTGTTATTTTTGGTGATTTAAACAATTGGATCTTTACATGTTACAGAATGTCCAAATGGTTGTTTGCTCTTTTATGTTAAAAAGATCATTAAACCCACTGGGTGCTACGCAACAGCTAGTAACAGTTTCAAGGATTTTTTTTGTTTATATTCAATGATGGATTTAAAAAAAAATGTTGTTATTTATCATTTTCAACCGTTATAAATATACTTTCCTTATTTGGATACAAACAAACAAAAAACAATAGAAAAGCCAAATAATTAGGGAGATGGACATTAATAATATTGTTACAGGCTACAAAGTAACTGGTTACAAGTATAAGTCATATTGTTACAGGTTACAAAGTAACTGGTTACAAGTATTAGTCATATTGTTACAGGTTACCAAGTGATTTGATACAAGTACTAATCATATTGTTACACGCTACCAAGTGACTCGTTACAAGTTCTAATCATATTGTTTCAGGTTACCAAGTAACTGGTTACAAGTACTAATCATATTGTTGCAGGTTACAAAGTAGCTAGTTACAAGTACTAAGCATATTGTTACAGGTCACTAAGTTACTATATAGTTACAAGTACTAATCATATTGTTACAGGTTACCAAGTGGCTGGTTGCAAGTNGCAGGTTACAAATTAGCTAGTTACAAGTACTAAGCATATTGTTACAGGTCACTAAGTTACTATATAGTTACAAGTACTAATCATATTGTTACAGGTTACCAAGTGGCTGGTTACAAGTTGCTAGTATAGAACTAGGAATGGACATTAACCATCTTATTACAGGTTACCAAGTGACTGGTTACAAGTTGCTAGTATAGAACTAGGGATGGACATTAACCATCTTGTTACAGGTTACCAAGTGATTGGTTACAAGTTGCTAGCATAGAAGTAGGGATGGACATTAACCACCTTGTTACAGGTTACCAAGTGATTGGTTACAAGTTGCTAGTATAGAACTAGGGATAGACACTAATTTTATTGTTTTATGATACTAAGTGACTGGTTACAAGTTGCAAGTACAGAAGTAGGGATGGACATTAACCATCTTGTTACAGGTTACCAAGTGACTGGTTACAAGTTGCTAGTATAGAACTAGGGATGGACACTAATTTAAAGAGAGGAAATGTTCCCATGGCTCTCAGGTCTGTAAAGTTAAATAATTATATTATATTTGAAAATCGAAAGATATTTTAATTTTTCTGATTTATTTTTGCAGACGAGTTTTGGTGAACAAGTTTACAGATTTTGATGAATACCAACTAGCAAAGTATAATAAAAGCCCAAAGGTAAATAATATTAAACCGGAGGCGAAAACTTTTGGTTGAGATCGCACTATGAACTAGGGTCAATTTGAATTTGAAAAGGACCGACCCCTTTTACCGGCCTTGCTGACACGCAGCAAGTATCGGTGCGACACTAAACTATGCCGGCATCACATCACTTATGTTCTAACTCCATGTACATATATGTGTATTCCAATCATACACATAAATAGTATAAAAGTTTTTTTTACATTCTTTTATTCATAGAATATTATTACTTTTCTTAACATAAAATTGGACCTTTCTCTGGTCTAAAAGGTTTCCGATTGGAGTTTCCTGTGTTTAAATCAATTTCCAGGCTACTGCGCTCCCGAGGAAATGGACCAGAAATAGCTATTAGGATCCAGAGAAAGAAGAAAAGAAGTTAGATTAGAGGAGGGGATTCAAGGTTTTATATATTCCCGGAGCTAAACTTAGAAAAGAGAGATTTGACATTTGACAGTTGGCTTCAGGGAAAATATGAAAAATAGCTAATACTGTGGTGACAGAGCAGACAATTTGTATGGTTCAGACAATTTTCACATTTTCAAGATTTTAGACAATTCAAAGCAGATAATAATATCATATTTGACTGTTTGGGCCGGAAAGCATTAAATTTTAAAATCTGGTTTGCTAAAATCTTCAGTCATTTAACAGTTCAGCCCTAGAACCCGCAAGCTATGGCTTTCGATCCCATTTTGACTAAATAAACATTTTTTCTCTCGCTTTTTCTCTTTTATGCTTTTTTTTGTCGGTGGTGCGTTTTACATAACATGGTCATCGTTGAAATTTAAAGATTTTTAAATTAAATATAATAGTTTTAAATGAAAAACTAATTGATTTGTAAATTAGCTTAAAACTGTACGGGGAATACTATAAAATATTTTAATAAATACTGAATAAATATCGTCCAATTCTGTTTCTGAATTCTTATTATTTTTGTACTAATTAATGCAATGTTGTCTATTCAAATTTAAATGAAAAATCTAGAGAAGTTTCTGAGTAATGTTCGCGCCAGTTAAATTTATACTTTTTATTTCAAAATACTAACACAATCTTTTCAATACTTTCTGTTCACATACGTTTTGGAGGGTCCCATTTTTATCTCCCCCCCCCCTCCCCTAGAAATCCTCTATGCGGCCCTGTTTCTATTGTTTATTATTGTTAGTATAATTAATAAAAAAGTTAAAAAGAATATTTTCTACTCACTAAACAATCTTTTTCTGAAAATACTAATTTAACAACTTTTGGAAAAATTTGATAAAGAATGCTTTTTCATCAAATATTCAAAAAAAAAATAATATTTGGAGGAGAGATGGATTAACCTGAACCGCTGATTTTTTATTTGAAGGGATTGTGAACACAATTCCAAGTGACGCACAATTTTAAGAGTTCTATGTTCGATTGAGAACGATACACTTAGAGTAAAAAGGATAAAATAATAGGAGAAGATATAAAGGATATATTTCAGATAGGAGAAGAAGAAGATATAAAGGATATAGTTCAGATAGGAGAAGAAGAAGATATAAAGGATATATTTCAGATAGAAGAAGAAGAAGATATAAAGGATATATTTCAGATAGGAGAAGAAGAAGAAGATATAAAGGATATATTTCAGATTGGAGAAGAAGAAGAAGATATAAAGGATCGGGAGTTTAGCATGAAACGACTTGTTCGTACTCTTCATATCCATGAACCTGCAGATCTAGTGATGAAACTGCTCGGGAAAAGGTATAAATATTAGAGTAAAGCCTAAGATTATAATTAAAAGAAAAAATGTCGAAATGTTTTTTTAATTTGAAAATTTTACAATCAAAACGCCACGATTTTTCTAGATTTCTGCATTGCAAAACTTGGTAGAAAAATAGACTTTATTAACGACCTAAAACTTCTCTATTACATTATGTGCTGATAGTTGAATTGAGTCTTTGTCACAAATCCCAATTTTCTAAGATTAAGATTAAGATTAAGAAATCAGAGTTTGTGACAATGACTCAATTCCTTTATGATTTCCTCAACATTCTATTTTTTATCTGTGTCATTGTTTACAATTCTAGTCATTGTTAACAATCTTAGTTATTGATAACAATCTTTGTCATTTTTTACACTCTTTGTGATTGTTTACAATTTTTGTCATTGTTTACAATCTTTGTCATTGTTTACAATCTTTGCCATTGTTTACAATCTTTGTTATTGTTTACAATCTTTGTCATTGTTTACAATCTTTGTTATTGTCTAAATATTTGTCATTTTTTACAATCTTTATAATTTTTTACAATCTTTGTCATTCTTTACAATCTTTGTCTTGTTTACAATCTTTGGCATTGCTTACAATCTTTGTAATTTTTTACAACTTTTGTCATTGCTTACAATCTTTGTCAGTGTTTACAATCTTGATCATTATTTACAATCTTTGTTATTACTTACAAAAACTCGTTTCTGTCCTCATACATTAAAAAAATGTAAAGAAACTCTATCCCCCTCTCCTTAATTCACTCCCATTATCTGAAGGTATCCTGAGGATCGTGAGAGGTTTCGTGAATGTCGTCTGCCTGGACAGTTTAAGCCCCAACTGGCAGGAAAAAGAATGAAACTTGAAACTCCGGAAACTTGGGAAACAATGATATCTGCGTATCCTGGTAATTCTGTTTATAGAATTAGAGTCTCTGTTTTTTGTATCCAATAAACCCCCAAACTGCTATAACAAGCAGCCCAAAATCTGCAAAGTGTTTAGTTTCATGATTTGCATAGAAAACATGGGGGACCCAAAATCTGGAAAAATTTTAAGTGAAAGGAAGTGCAAAGAAAAGATAATGGCAGAATGTATATATATATATAAACAAAATATTATGAAATATCAACTATTTACGAATGCGTCGAAAAATAATCGATGACTATTACTTGTAATATCTGAATGATTTTTTTGGAATTAAATTGATTTGATAGTTAGTTAATTAGTTAGTTAGCTAGTTAGTTAGTTTGTTTTACGTGTTTAGGAAACAAATCAGAGGTTTGGGAACATCTAATCGAGAATCGGAAACTGCCATACACTGCTACTATCAGAAATATTAGGTAAACAATCAAACAAAGCTAACAGTAGGAATAATATTTTGAGATCAACCAAAATATATGGAAAATAAAAAGAAAGGATGAATGAAAAGATGAATGAATGAATAGGTGAATGAATAAATGAAATAACTAGGAACTTGTTACTGACTGGTGTATAGGATGAATAAATGAATGAATGAATGAATGAATACATAGGTGAATAAATGAATGAATGAATGAATAACTAGGAACCTGCTACTAACTGGTGTATCGGATGAATATCTAAAGAAAGCTGCTGATTTTATTTCCAACAAGATTATGGTTGAGAAAGGTAAAATTAATATTACACAACACAAGTTTTATTCAATCCTAGTGCTATTTACTTTCTTGGAGTTGGTATGCTCTAAAACTATATTATTCGTTTTAAAATTCAAGAGTGAGCAAGCCCGGCCGGGTATGAACAATGAGCCCGTACTAATATCAAATTATTTTTTGATCTTGGATAGGTCTCTAAATTAGCAAATATCAAACTTTTCATCAACAAATTGACAAGTTTTACAATGTATGGTTTATACTTTATATTAAACCCATTAGAGGGGGGGGGGGGTTCATGATCTCTTCATGCTGTGGCGGAGTGAGTGGATAGAAGTTTGTTTGGGGTGGGGTGCGGTGAGGGGTAAGTCTGAATCCTTGGATGTTTAAGAAAATGTTATAAAGGTTGAGTTATGACGTGATAAGGTTTAGTAGAAGTTGATGGAAGTATTAAATGCAAGTTGGTCTCTCTATTACTTTTTATGTTGGTGGATGCGCTTTAATTTATTATTACAGAACGCATCTCGCCTTAGTTCGTCCAAGGTGCAATAAATCATAATGATTTATTTTCAGATATTTATGTTAATCTGATTGGCGGGGATACAGGGTTACCCAAAAACGATGAGACTTCAGAGACGACTGCAGTGAATTTAAACTGTCCGCTTCTTTTTATTCATGAGTTTCTGCAACTGAAAACTTGTTTATTTCTTTGCCAAATAAATGACTAAATTTAGTCAAATTTTTCAGAGCTTCCGGTCCGGTCTTTTCACAGTCTCATACTTTGTGGGTAACCCTGTACAACTTTTAGATTGGGGTCACGTATATCTTTAATCTACATTTTCCTGTACGAAGTGATTAAAAGATTAATTAGTTTTTTAATAACAAAGTAAACAGACAAATTATATATCTAACAAAAAAAGAATTGCACGACTTTGTTCATAAGCTTATCAAAATAATTTGAAAAGTATTATGAAGCGAACCATTTTGTAATATTCTTTGTTGTGACATTCTTTATATCTCTTGTACTTTTGAAAGCACAACATTATCAAGAAAATACCATGTGAGAGAAAATGAAAACCATAAATTTATAAATTCCATTTTTATTTTTGTTTCAGGAGGGATGTTTCCGTTCCAATATTTTTGTTTCAGGAGGGATGTTTCCGTTCCAATATTTTTGTTTCAGGAGGGATGTTTCCGTTCCAATATTTTTGTTTCAGGAGGGATGTTTCCGTTCCAATATTTTTGTTTCAGGAGGGATGTTTCCGTTCCAATATTTTTGTTTCAGGAGGGATGTTTCCGTTCCAATATTTTTGTTTCAGGAGGGATGTTTCCGTTCNTATATTTATTACATCTTGTCAATACTGTAATTATATTTTAAAAGGCCAAGATTATCGGGATGAAATCTAAGTTGAAGAATGTGACGGACTTTAAGCTAAAGATTATGAAGAGAAGTTTAGATACTGCTGTCAATATCTCAGCCAGGATCAATGTTCCTCCGCTCCAGGTAGTGTTTACTGTTTATACCTGGACCTATCTCCAGGTAGTGTTTATACCTGGACCATTCTCCAGGTAGTGCTTATACCTGGACCTATCTCCAGGTAGTGTTTACTGTTTATACCTGGACCTGTCTCCAGGTAGTGTTTATACCTGGACC